CGTGTTCTGGGTGGGGTTCCGGGTGTTCCGGGTGGGGTTCCGGGTGTTCCGGGTGGGGTTCCGGGTGTTCCGGGTAGGGTTCCGGGTGTTCCGGGAGGGGTTCCGGGTGTTCCGGGTAGGGTTCCGGGTGTTCCGGGTGGGTTCCGGGTGTTCCGGGTGGGGTTCCGGCTTTTACAGACACCCTTAACAGGGTAAAGGTGGGTCAAGGTTTTATCGAAAGCGATTGACTGTTAGATTTCATTTACACATTTATAACTAAATAACGTTATTTCCTTTAGATTTAGCTTTATTGTAACTTTTTAAAGGTATAAAAACCCGTGGAAACGGTGAATTACTATAATAACTTAATTAAAAATGATTATTTATCATTTTGACGTTTGAGTGATCGAAATGAGTTAATTTACACTATATCGAATGTCATGTTGAATGTCATGTTGAATCTTAATTATGCGTACTTCACAATGGTTGCTATTTCGTTGTATTAAATTTCAACAGTATTTATACTATTATTTATAATTCAAATTTTGTTTGATATTTATATTTCATGTTATTTACAAAGTGTGCTGTAGTTTTGAAACTTTGCACACAATATAATCAGTGCGAGCACAATGGCTCCGTTTCAGTTTGAATATATAAAAATCGAGTATTTTCGATAGCGTTGGGCTTTGAGTGTGCTTTTAGGCTTTCGCGATATATAAATATAAACGCCTGATAATTGATAAATAATCAGTGCGAGCACAACGGCTCCAAAATCACAACAAATAACATAATATAAGGTAAGTTAAAACAGTAAAGCTTTACCTACCTCGATTTATTTTTCTAAGGCGCTCAATTATGTAAATTTTCGGCGAATAATCAATATTTCTTTGTGTTTCCTCGACGAAAACCCCCCGAGTGAATTTGAGGGTGTATTTCCGAAAGATCTTCGGCGCAGAAAAATTGAGAGATTCACCCTGGGAAAACCCGGCATGAAAATGCTCGTCGGAAAAACTCGGTATTTGTCGTATTTTACGAATCTGCCACGTGACTGGTACGCTCACCGCTCACCACTCCTGCTCACCGCTCAGGCGCTCACAGCTCATAGTCCAGTGATGGGCGATACCACCAGTATCGGTTTCGATACGATACCGATTACTTTTTGGTTAAAGTATCGAGGTATCGATTACCCAAACGATTACTTCCTCCAATTTTCAAAATAATAAATGTAAGTCACTTAATAAAGAGCCTTAGTAACGATATATTTTCAGAAAGTTACATATTTTTAACAGTAACGATTTGATCCGCCATTTTAATCCACAAAAAACCAAAAATTACTTTATTTCCCACCTTTTTCATAATTTATTCTGTCGGCGAGGATAGAATGTCAAATAAAGTATAAAGGAAGTTTGATTAAATTGATAAATGCAGCAAAATACAAAAAAGTACATAAATTTTATTAGAAATAACCATGAAAACGATGACACATCTACAGGATTATAATGAATGTCTAATTTTAAAAGTAGTAATCGAAACACTTTTTCGATACCATGCAGTATCGACTACTTCCTATTTGGACCTGGTATCGGGTGGTATCGATACCAAGTACCGCGACGACACGAAATTTAGAGCTATATGAAAGTTGCATGCCATATATGGCATGCAACAAAAATGCAAAATCGAAAAGTGCAAAAAATCGAAAAAAATCGAAAAATGCAAAAATGCAAAAATCGAAAAAAATATCGAAAAATGGAAAAAATGCAAAAATCGAATAATAAAAAAAAATCGAAAATGCAAAAATCGAAAAATGCAAAAATCGAAAAGTGCAAATATCGAAAAATAAAAAAATAGGTACGCATTGCGTACATGTGGCTAGCCTTTGGAATAAAAATAGGTACGCTAAGCGCACATGCATTTGCGTACGGCGTTAGTGGATTATATGTCAACAAAAGAGAAATCACTGAAATTATCGCTAATTATTGATACACTTTAATAGGGTGCCGTTTTTCACGAGGCGCCACCATAATTTCAAAAAACTTTCAAACATGATTTAAGAGATTATGCAATCATCAAAAATAGAAAGCCCTGCCCCTCCAATTCACCCCTCGGGCAGAATACCTTGTCAACAGCAAATATATCCCGTGTTCCGCATCTTGTACAATGTACATCGGTAAATTAAAGTTCAACGTAGTTTAGTATAAGATACGACAATAACTAGACTACAACAGTTCGAGGTCTCGACTAGACAATTTATCTTGATAATAAAAATATTATACTAATCTTAAAAAATAGTAGCTATTCTCATACAGCATATCATCCAGTTGTATAAATTTAAAGGTCAGACTTTTCCTTATTTACAAATGAGACAGGTAAAATATTCTTTCAACCAGTAACATCTTCACAGTGATGTAGAGAATACAGTAAACAGTCTAGCATTACTCGCCAGGTGGAATTAAATGGTGGTAGAGATGGTTAGTTTTACAGATTATTATTTTGAGTTTTTGTTCCATCTACAATATTTAAAAAAGTAATATTACTATACTGGAAATATATTATATTCCATGGCCTGTTCTCCACTTCAGCCATGTGTTACAATACACACCATATTGTTTCCTTTTAGTCAAATGTCATTAGTTCTGCATTAGTTCTGCAGTTAGTTCCCAAAGGTCAAAACAATACGCTACAGTATGTTTCACTACTCGCAAGCCATACTAGCATGTGAATGTGAGGTGAACCTCGCTTGCATGTACAATATATAAATTGTTGCCATAAACTAAAATCTGGTTCATAGTGGATGTCATAGGCATCGAAATATCGATAAGTGAGGGGGACCATATTCATATATTTGTGTTTTGCATTATTAATTTCTTTTGAAATCGATTGTTTTTAAGGTCTGTGAACACAAATATATGAATATGGTCCCCCCACTTAGCTATCTTTCGACACCTATGGATGGATGTGTCCCAAATATTAACTGATTTAATTTCATTATAAACAATAGAATATAGTGTATTGGGATGTAGACAATAATCTCTGCGATCGCCTTTTGGACGATGTTTATTTACGTTTCGTTAGAGCATGCGCATGAGAGCTAAGATGGCGTGCGAAGGAAAACAGTGTTTTACCTAAATTTACTATTTTGTAATTTTCCATATATTTTGATAATTAAAGTGAGTTGAAACCTGTTTTTCGCCTCATTTACTGGCAATCCCAGTACAGTAAAACACTAACATTCGCTGTGGCATTCCAGAATTGTGGAGAAGCCTAAATACAAAGGAGTTTTGCAGCCCAAAACTTGTGTATTGCTTGAAGACAAATCCAGGAATCAGCCATGAATGTTGAAGATAAAAAAACAAGAAAGAAGCAAGGCTAAAATGGCGGTCACTGTCGCTGCGAGGCGTCTGATCGGAGCCTACAACAGAGATTGTGAATATGATATTTTAAAGGATTCAATGTTCGAACTTGAAAAGGTATTTGATGATTTTTGCGTTATAAATGAGGAATACGAACTTATTGTATCTGACGAAAAATACGCTGAACACCGTGTAGTTAATGGTGAAGACATTAGGACTTACAGAGACAATGTAAAAAGGTGCTATCAAGAAGCTAGGAGTGTATTTGATAGTGTAAAGACAACAATCGAACAAAAAGCTAGACAACAAAGTACTGGGCCTGTCAAAGTTGCCCTAAAGAATGACATTGTAGAATTCATGAACTAATCACAGTCATTGATGAGAGTTTTAAACTGGATAATGTGAATATGGCAGCTTTACAACTAGATAAGAGTGATCTACAGTCAATTTTGAACATAATATGTGATAACATGGCAAAACTTGGCTCGATTGAAACACAAGAGCAAGTTAACCTAATCCAAGAAGAAGTCGATGCTATTATCAGAGCAGTTTACAATTGCATCAGAAAGATAAACTTGTTTTCGCATGAGCAACAAGCATTTGTTAAATCATTACACATTGAAAATGCCACTTTCCCCTCTGAAACCAACATCCCCCCTGAGGATACTGAGACCATCAACACCATGTCTCCCCCCGAAATCAACACCAACACCCCCTGAGAACACTAAGACCATCAACACCATGTCTCCCCCCGGAAATCAACACCAACACCCCCCTGAGACCATCAACACCATGACCCCCCCGGATATCAACACCCCCCCTGAGACCATCAGCACCACTTCCCCCTCGGCAATCAACAGCAATATCCCCCCTGAGCCCATTTATACTGCAACCCACCCTGAAATTATTGACACCCCTGCTATCGAGACCAACACAATTCCACCTTTGTTGCCAATTAACGCTTCCCCCCTTAATTACTCCAGTCCCTTTGGCACCCAAGTTACCACCAACATTACAGAGACCAACACAACCCTACCAACCCTACCTAGGACCAGTACGGGTTTTTGCTTGAATACACCAGCTCAAACCTTCATTCCCTCTACCACCCTTCATTCGGAAAGCAGTTCCACATCGGGACAAACGCATTTGTCTCAGCAATGTCAGAATCCTACAAATTTATCAACAGGTTTCCCTGCATTTGCAATCATAGACGGATTTTCATATTTTTTACTGGGGTGGTGCCAGAAATTTTAGGGGGGTGAGCCGCGAGCAGGTGACTGAAGCAACACCAGGGCCTTTTTTAAGGATTTTCCCGTTGGGGGGGGGGCATTTTTTGAAAAGGGACCTTTCCGTGAGATAATATATTAGAGGGGGATAGCAATGGCTGAAGGCCATGTGTGTGGCCAATATACCACGCATGAATAGGGGGGGGGGTCTGGGGTACTCCCCCAGAAAATTTTTGAAATTTGAATCCCGGAAATGTCACTTCCTGCATTCTGAGCATCCAAATTTGGTCCAAAATTTATGCTAACTATACTTGTATTTGAAATAAATAAAGAAAAAAACGCACAAAAAGTAAAAAAAAAATAACCATCATTTATCATTACTTATTAGAGGAGGATAACAATGGTCAGGTGTGTGGGGGTGTATTCCCCCAGAAAATTTTTGAAATTTGAAGCATGGAAATGCCATTTCCTGCATTCTGAGCATCCAAATTTGCTCTAAAATTTATGCTAACAATACTTGTATTTGAAGTAAAAGATGGAAAAAATGCGCAAAAAGTAAAAAAGAATATTAACTGTAATTTATCGGCTTATTAGAGGGATAATCCCCAGAAAATTTTTGAAATTTGAAACCCGGAAATGCTATTTCCTGCATTCTGAGCATCCAAAAAATAAAAAAATTATTAACAATAATTTAGAAAAAAGTAACAATTTAAATCGATTTTGTTAAACAAGGACAAGGGATGAAGCCTAAAACTTACTTTCCGTTTATGTATTTGTTAATCTTCGCTGGTTTGTTTGTATAATTTTAGGGAAAAGGGACTTTTCCTGGGGGGGCGGCAAAATGTGATTTTGTGGGGGGGGGGGCACAAGGGGGGACTCATTTGCCCCCCCCCCTCCCAGCTTGTGTGTTAAAAAAGGCCCTGAGCAACACAAAGTGTCGCCAAACCCCAGTAAGGTCTATATTCTAGGGGTGGAGCACTAGAGCCGCGAGTGGGAGTCTAGAGAGCTGAAAACAAAGTATCCCTGGAAAAATTTGAAAAAAATCATGATTTCTAGCTTCGAAAAAACGTTTTTTGAAGTTGTCATATCAATGGACTTGGCCTGTCCGATTGTCTGTTGAGACTTGAGAGAGTTAAAGTTAAATGAAGCTGTAAAAGTGTAAACCCAATAGGCCAATACACAATATGCTTTTACTTTTATAAAATCATTGACATTGTGTCGTTTGAATCCGAGTACAATTTATGATGCAACTCCGATGTAAAAAATATTTGGGACGTAAAGATTAAATCTAGGCAAGACTATTTCCTAAAAGAATTAAAACTAAAAATAATGTTCGTAAAATTTCCAAACGTTCTTTGCAAGCAAGCTATTTGCATGACAAGGCACTGCAAACTCTATTCAGGGGAGATAATAGAGTTTCAAAACTTTACAATTGGTCCAATAAACCAGTGAATGCAAGCGAGGAGCAATTATAGTTTCAGAGTATTGCGTCTTTTTCTATTTGAGTGTACTCCTACGTTTATTTTGTATCATCAACACTCTGCACGTTGGAGTGGACTATTTAATTATTTTTTATTATGCCGAATATTGGGGGGGGTTGAAATTTTTTTTGGAGGGGTGGACATTTTGTTTGGGGGGGTTATAGCTAATATTGGGGGGTAGCACCCCCCTCCCCCACAAAATCCGTCTATGGACCAGTCATAAAGTAAAAGGGGGGGGAGCTGGGAAAAATAGGGGGTGGGTCACTATTTTTGAGCACGGTTGAAGGGGTGGATCATCGAAAGTTAAGCACAATCATAAGGGTGGGCCATGTAAAAATATGCAGAAGATTGGGCCCCAGTCATTTTTTGTGTTAAAAATTTCCGCGCAAAGAACAAGATATCTGTTTTTTGGGCTAAGTACCGAAATTTGGTATGAAAAATTAAGATAAAGTCCAAAAGTGCAGACACCAAATATATGATTTTCCCAGCCCCCTTCCCCCCCCCCGCTTTTACTTTATGACCGGTCCCTAATTATTCTTGTTCATCAGTTTATGGCAAAATTACACACATTTTACACACATTTATTTGAGTATGTACGTCAGGATAAGAATCGTATACGACGTACTAGTTGTATTGTGTAGATTTTACTATTACCTTATCAAAAAAGCCTGGCTTGCGAGGTTTATGCTTCATTATATCTTCACTCAACTGATGAAGATTCTTTATAACTGATCGCTGACGATCGTCGTTTCTTAAAACATTCTGTTCAACCAGGCCATCATAAATATTGATTATATTATCTAAATGATGAATGGACAAATTCTAAGTGGGTTTACAAGCAAGAATTGCAGATGGTCGTCAACCAGCTGTTTTCCAAGTGACAAAATATTCATTCTTTTCATTCATGGGATGGTATTTGGGAGCAACAGTCAGTGGTGCCACCAAGATTTTTTTTTTTTGGGGGGGGGGAACTTTAAAATAATTTGTGAGTCACAACCCTAGGGGGTCCAGGGCATGCTCCCCAGAAAAAATATCAATTGGAGAAACTTGTTCTCTTTATACACGAGCAAGTAAAGTCGTCAAGAAACTTGTCAAGGAAACAATGGCGGAAATTCACGTTTTCCGGTGGGGGGCAAAGCCTCCAAAATTTCCGACAAAACTTTCAAATTTCCGACAAACCCCCCTATTTGCACTCGAAAAGGCTGTTTTTAGCCCTCTTTTGGGTCAAAATTTCCGAAAAGTCGTCATTTTCTGTGAAGGTGGGGGGCGGTCGCCCCCCTGCCCCACCAAGTGAAAAACTTGGTGATCTGTATGGCGCACTCCTAAAACACATCCATGAAATTATGAAAATATTGCTTCATTAAAATTGCACAATTGAATTTATTAATTCATATGATGTCATGATGATGACATATTTACGTACAAGTTAAAATTATTTTCAAAACAAATATAAATAAAACTTACTTGTAGCTTGATAGATGGACGAATAAAACGACCTCGAATGGATAACATTCCTACCAAACTTTTGTGAATTATAAACACAAAAATATCGACCAAGAATTGCGAAATTTGGCCGCATAGCCATATAATTTCGCTTCAGTATAATTTATACTCTATCAACTATGTGACACCAAATGCATGAGGAATAAAAGCCAACATCACCGTATCCAAATATAGCTAAAACTAAGCCCAGAAAGAAAATAATCCCTTGAAATTTTATTAATTTTCGCCATGGCGGCAAAATAGAAAGAACTTTAAAATTTTTAAAATGTGAAAGCAAACAACGCGAGGGGCCTCAGTCCAAGCGGCCATTTCTTCCGAGGGTTAAAAATGCCGGGTCAATCTCGTTCCCCGAGCCTGCGATCCTCGGGAATGAATCGAAGGCTCTGGGATAATCCGTTACCGGAAACCAAGAATCCTGGCTAAGATTGAACTACGCATTCCATTTCAATGGCCAATCAGATTCCTCCCTGAAACGGATTATCCCAGAGCCTCGCGTTCCTTCCCGAGGATCGCAGGCTCGGGGAACGAGATTGATGCCGGGTATATTATGAGAGGCGGGTATTAGAGTGGGGAAACCACTGATTGGAGGGGACTTATCTAAGAGTGGGGATTAATCAGGCCAATAAGTGTGCAGCAAACTCTCAAATTAATAGAGAACAAGCAACTTTTTAACTACTAATTATTTAATCCAACCTTGTACCACGCCCTGCTTGTACACAGGTCATGGAACAGAAATTTTGGGTTCAAGGTTGCATTCAATGTAGTTTTGCGTTTGTGACTTCAAACAATAACGGCACTAGTTAACTATAATGGTATGATTAACTTCCTGTCGACGTTTCTCTCTAATAACAAAGTAGGGCATATCAAGGTGTATTATGGCATAAACTGTTAACACGACACACAAGCAGAGAGTCTGGTAACACATTAATGTCTAAACAGATAATTCAATATAAAACATCACTACATCAAGTCACTTTTAATTTAATACCTTTAATAGACAATATAAACTTTACAACAAAATTATTTACAAAATTCTAGTTTATTTTAATTAGTAAACTAAAAACATCCTTGTAATTTGTTTCCAATATAAACGATCCGTATATAAACGACCCGTCTAGCAAGCCAGATATCACACAGCAAATCCCAGGTATAATGTAAGAATATTTGTGCTGCTAATTGCACATTAGAAGAGAGAAGAGAACTCAATGACCATAGAATTGAGAGCAAAATGTTGTGGCAAAGATTTCTACATTTTCATGATACATCTATAATTAGAAATAATATAATTTTAGAGATATGGATAATTTACTTAAAAGGAGGGGTAAAAAAATTTCTGATGGGGTGCAAGTGGCACTACTCAGCGAGCTTCGGCAGGGGTTATAGGTGTTTGGGTTAATGCCTCTTACACAAAATAGGAGGCAAAATTTTGGTGGGGTTAAACACTTTATTAGAGGGGTTAGCAAGATTCTAGGGGGGGGGGGTTAACCCCCCTTAACCCCCACCCCAGTAAATCCACCCAAGATGGAAAGTTAGTTTTATATCTATTCTGACACTGCAGAGAACAAAGAAGAATTTGTTGTCTCAAGTGAAATTCAAACTCGCATCTTCAGGTTTCTAGACCATCTTTTCCCCTTGAGCTATCATGGTAGCAAGTCTACTACCACTCCCACAAATGTCTATAACCACACCCACATTATTTTGAAATATTTACAATTCTAGTTTTAAACCACCAATCAACGGTTTATAGCAATTGTTACCAGGAATGGGAGATTGGCTGTTTAAAATTTGAATTGCAAACTTTTTTTTTACAACCAAAAGTTTTGAAATACTTACAACTAAGAGGCATCTCTCCTAGCCTTCTTTGAACCTGATCATGACTAAATTTCACAAATGCATCATATTGCTCTAAAAATATTGCAAATGATTAGCAATCAGTTTCTGAAATTAAATACTAAATCTACTCATCTAGGCTGTACCATCATATATGTTAATTAAAACTTTTTTTAACATTTACCTGATAGTTTTTGGTTTAATACTTTATCATACTCTTCTTGTAACTGTTTCTCTCGTTCTTTTAACATTCTCTCGCAAATTATTTGCACTTGTTTTAACGTGAAGAGAGGTTTATTATTATCACTCGTGCTTGGCGATGCTGGCGTGCTTGGTGATGCTGGCGTGCTCGGGGAGGCACTTGGTAACAAATGGCTCAGATGATTATCCATGAATATATTTGATGTTGGTAAGATAGCTGTAAGTCGCTTTCGTTTTTGTATTCTTCTCCATTCCTGTTCCACATTTTGTGCAATTTGTTCTAGAAAATATTATTTGGTATAAATACAATGAGAAATGTTACATTTTATATCATTGCCAGTGCTCTCTCTTTGACAAGTAAAATCATCTGGTGTTAGACAGAGTGAAATAATAAAGCTTAGAGTTTTAGATAAAAATGCTATTTGATGTTTTGCATGGCAAACGTTTTATGCACAAATTTGGCAAAGAAATCCATATCTTTTGAAGGACTTTAAAAATTCAAGATGGCGTCCTATTGTTGTTTTCAAAACGTTTAAAAGTGATATTTGGTTGGCATCTTTGCTTTCAAATACATGTAGAAATACATCTATGGAAACTAGTTATATTCGGCATTAACAGACGGCTATTTTTTTAAACAATAAACAGAAAAATCATGCAAATATAAACGTAGACTTTTTTTTACACAACTCTTTGGCACTTTGCTCACCTGAAGTCATTTTCGGAGTGACATCAAGGAAGTTTGATGGCTCGTTTGTCGATGTTGTTGGACTTGACTTAACTGCCATGTACCGCCTTCTTTTTTTACATGGTTGCTGCTGTGGACTTAGAACAGGATCAAAATCATAGGAACGCTTTAAAGTGGCACACGCCATCTTTGTTTCTTTAAGTCTATAAACGTCTCAATTCAAAGCGATATTTCACAAGCTTTCCAGCTCCAATAATAAAAAAGAGTGGCTTAGAAAGCAAAAATATATATCAGTGTATCCAATTTTGAACTCCTCTTGTCCTTAAAAAGCGACGATTGCTTTGTAATCCGATGGATTTAAACACAACACTCAACTTCGAGATTCAATATTTTTCCTTCTTCTCCAAAATTCCAGTGATCAAAAAATTTTCTTTGGTTTGTTATTTTCTTCACCGGTATCAACCAATCACAGAGCTCGGATTGGATTGTGCGACGTCACACTAGTTCTCAGGCTACTTCCTTTACACAGAAAAAATAATAACACAGAATCGAATATAATTTGACACTTTCTATTGGTCAGCAAAACATTAAATCAGACCGTTTGCTGCTAAAATTTTCAGGTATTTACATAGTTGCTTTTCTACTGATTTTTTTACTTTATATCTAACAGGATCTGGTAGAATGATGCCTTATTTTGTGTGTAAACATAAAAAATACTTTTGACTATATTCTCATTTATTACGTAGGCATACCATGATCTATTCGATTATAAACATGATATTGATATTATTTAATGATTAATTGCAAAGAAATATTAAATAAAATCATTAATGCAAGCGAATGAGTAGTTTCGATTTATAACAGGTTACAAATGTATGTAGAAAATCTGCAATCTGAAATGGGTAAATGAGCACTAAATCATGCAAGACATATATATAATAAAAAAATTTACAATATTTTCTAACTCTAATTACTAGTTGACCAACATCTGCTGCATTACTTGTAGCACACCATGGCAACTAAAGCTTCAAAGGCTGAAGTGGAAAGACGATTGAAAGGAGAAGTTTGGGAGGCAGCAAAAAAACGCGAAGGATTGCCGCCAGTTAATGGCCACACCGGGATCTTTGGATACCACATGGATGACTGTCTGTGCGGGATGGGTGGTTGGCCATGTTACCGAGATGGCTCAATTTGGAGCTGCTGTGGAAGTACTGATGTTGACTCAAAATGTTCAAAAGCTGGCAAAAAATGATCTGGAAGAAACAACACTGGGATTTCCAAAGAATAATTTTTCTCAGAATAATATATAACCATAAACATATACTAAACATTAAGGCAAACGTTACTCTGGGAAAATGGCACAATTGGTCAGATATGTTTGGGTCACAATGTGAAGAACAAGTCAATTGCACAAAATGGGACTATGTTATCTTTACTAGAAAGTTTTATCATTTTGTATCAATAGATATTCAATAGCAAAATGTAAGGAATAAAAATTGTAATTTCTGGAGTTTTATATTATTTTTTGATTTGGTTTACAGCAAACCTTGACAGTAATCAAAACACAAAATGTGGGTTTGTAATTTTAAAAGTTTATGAGGACAGGGGCAGCTCCTTGGTGGAAAAAATAGGAGAACATCGATGTCTAAATTTTTAGTTTAACTGGTAGTTATCAGAGTGAGAAAATAACGTTTTCATTACATGTATTAATTTTGTATCTGGAAGCAAATAGAATTGAGAAATATGTTTGAATTTTCTTGATCCTGTCATTCACGAGATATCAAGTTCAAAGAAAGGAGAGACTGGGGGGAAAGCAAAAGCGAAGAATGACATGGTTGCAGAGCGGCTGGAAGGTGCACGCTGGGAAGGTGCCACAAAAGTTTCAGGTCTACCCCCAGTGAATGGGCATACTGGAATATTTGCATTTCATGCTGATGATTGTATGTGTTCGCTGGCCTGGCTGGCCATGCGCCAGAAAGAGATCGATTTGGAGTTGTTGTGGCAGTACTGATAGAAATTCACAATGCACGAACACTGGCATGAAGAATTTTTTTCAGCGCATCAGAAAACAATTTTCCAGCAGATGATTTAATTGTTTCATTTGGAAAACCAACATTACAGTATATGGAGAACATGCAATATTCATATTAAACTGTTGGATGCAAAATAATTGTCTTAAAAATGGAGATGCCTTTCACTATATAAACAATATAATTGTCATTCTTTCACAACCAACGCGAACAGTTAAGTAATTATGGTGTGTCAAAACTGTTTGAACTCGTCATATATTTATTGCATTATAAGTATGCACTATGCCACAAATGAGTTCTTAAAGTTAGACTTAATAAATTGCTCAATACATTGTCATTGACGGTTAATGTCGCGAAAATAGTCGTTTTGTTCCCTTGAATATGTTTCATAAAAACGAAGTAGCAGACATAGATCTTAGATTTCGTAGATTTACACATCTTGATCTATCAGATTTATACATCGTAGATTTTTACATGTTGTATTTTTTCATGATCGATTGCCATTTTTACACGTCTTTACAAAAACGTAATTGGGAAACGTTCCACATTTGCATAAAACGCAAAGTATAGCTCTTGCAAATGGTCCCGTTTCTAACTCTGGTGTATCGTGTTTAAGCCGTCAAGATACTGCTTTCATCCATTCACCTTCCAATGTATCTTTTCATTGCTCTTCACGACATGCTTGTAGCCTGTTTTCAATACAATTTCATTACCCAGTGAGACAATACAATTCTCTACTAAGTCAATGGTTATTGTAAAAACCTCCCATATGTTCCACAAAGGAATCATCTGTTTGTCACTTGTATTCCTTTCTGTACATCTCTTAATGTTTCTCCATATTCCAAGTTTCTTGTCATCTTGATGCGTTTAAACATGACAGGACAATCCAGAGATATACATGTCATTGCCGCATCTCTTGTTCCGCAACATTGAAAACACATCTGCGGAGAAAATGCATGTACTATTAGCGCTAAGATACAGGACAGAAATCAAAGTTACAGATGAGTTTCACTAAGATTTCAGACCGGGAGCAGCTGCAAAAAATGCAACCCTTCGACAGAAATGGAATATATCTTTATAGTAAAAAACCTCAATTGGATCAACTTTTTCACTGTCAAAGTTTACGGATATGATGTCATTAGGAGAATTTTTGGTACAAAAAAGAAAGGAAACTAATTTGCAATTCACCTAATGACCTCATATCCGGAAACTTTGACAGTGAAAAAGTTGATTAAGATGGGATTTTTTATTGTGAAGATATGTTACATTTCTTCTTCGAATGACCCAAATATTACACATAACCAAAAATCATATTTGGGGTTAGTCGCGTTTTAATTTTCTTCCTCCTGTATTAAAGTGTGAACATTTCTGACCATTGAACACCATCTGATGCCCGTAACGTTTACCTACGAGACCTACCACAACATTGAGAATCATGGAACAAACCAACACTAACAAGGGCAATTCTCCTACCTCTGTAAGATGGTTGTATTTTCGTTCCCAGTTTCCCACTCTCTCGGCCAAGATGACGACAGCTTTCTGTGGGTTGTCACGGCAACCTCGACACAGTCCTTGTTGAGTCAGTTGTTCACATACTGGACAGTGAAGTGTCGTGAAGAATCGGGATATAGAACTCTGAAATACGAAATATTGTCTATTATTTCTATGGGGGAATACGCGCACTGGCTATAGCTAGGACCATGGCGTCAGCATTTTGATGACGAATGATGGGCGTGATAGCAGTTACCATAGGCAGTTACGCTTTTGAGTCAACCTTCTGTGTGTCTTTATTCTGTGATTATATAGAATTTTCAGACCCGACTAGTAGAAGCAGCTCTTATTTCTCACTTCTATTTATTTACCACCAAATATAAGACGACTATATACAGGGTGTATCAAAAAAAAGGTAATCGAACTTCAGCGCGCTATTGTATCTGAATTACTCTGAGTATGAACGAGATTTTTTCACATTCGGAAAGATCATGCTTTTAGCTGTTGAATGATATCTCCCTCATGCCAAATGGATAAAAAATGAGCAAATACGAATCCGATAAAAAATGTTAGTCAGAATCGCATATTTTCACCGTTGAGAGTTGTGTCTAAAACCATTGAAAATGAATCCCCTTTGGTACTTAAGTTGATGAATTTTACTTCAATAAACGACGCACATATTCATAATTATTATTAAGTAGGAATAAAGCTTAGCTAAGCTACGACACGTTCGTGATTAATTGCTTTTTCTTTTGTTATGCATTGTTTTAATTAGGCACAGAGGTGAAAATATGCGATTTTGACTAACATTTTTAATCGGCCACGTACATGCTTATTTTTTCTCCACTTGGGATGAAAAGCATGTCACTCAATAGCTAGAAGCCAATATCTTTCCGAATATGAAAACCAATTGTTCATACGCCGAGTAATTCACGTATAATAGCGCGCTGAAGTTCGATTACCTTTTTTTTTATACACCCTGTATAATGAAAAGAAAATTATTTTCTCACTATCATGTACGAATAAACAATAAACCTTAACAACATGAGGATGATGTAACAGTTTCATAATTTGTACTTCGTGGTAAACCTTCTTCAAGTTCGCTTCGTCTAGCAAAGTGTTGTCGATGATTTTTATCGCTACCTGACTTTTCGTAGTACGATGATGCGCCAATTTCACGACCGCGAAATTCCCCTATCATGTACGAATAAACAATAGATTACGAACTTTGCTAAAACGTTCAACTTTCCTTGCCTTTTGTTTCCCAGTGTTGACATGATGACGAGGTACATATCTGGGTAGTTCTGTGTACCATGTGAATACATCAATTCCGATCAAGGAAAACACGCGGTTCAATGGTGGGATAATTTGTTTGTTGATGTAATAAGATGAATTTAAACGCAGACTGGCATCGTCCAACACATCACCTGGGCTAGAAGAGACATTTTAAAGCCTGGTTATTGAACTCGGTAATGGTGAAGTGCTTAACGTATGTTGATAAGTCGCAAGAATATCTCGTGCGCTTAAATATGGATTTGGAGCGTCAGCCCGATTCGCTGAATATGCGAGTTCAAATCCTGCGTGAGTCAACTTTATGTTGACAGCACAGCGTTTGGTTTTTCTCATGAATATATTGCTTATGCCTGGTTTACACAATCAAAGTTTCTGTGATCACAGTAGGAATTTTGCATCGGTCAGTTCTAAGCATAGATATCTTATATAAACTAGATAGCGCATCTCTTTTAGTAAAATTGAAGCCAAGAATATTTGAATAGATGGCGGCCATGTTGGAGTTTCCCACTCGCTAATAAACGCTTAAAAAACAACAATAACTTTCATCATTTGAATAGTTTGAAAATGTATTTGGAATAGGTTTAACTTAATGTTTAAGTTCCCTGTTTAAGAAATAGAAAACATACGAGTCTTCTCATTTCATGGGAATATCCTGAGTCTGCAATCACGGCTTCAATTTTTGAATTGCAGAATAATTAGATGCACTATCTAGTGTATATAAGATATCTATGGTTCTAAGTTGTGAAGGATTTGTAAGAAATGTTTGAGGAAACTGACTCAGTCTTTAACACTTTGTCAGTTCCCTCAAATATTTCTTAAGGCCCGTTTACACTTCGATTTCTATTACGATGTTCTTCTTTTGATGGATGGGAACGAGTAAATGAGTTACGAAAGCTCTGAGTATATGTAACCTCATCTAAACATTCCTAACTCATCCACTCGTTCCAATACATCAGGAGAAGAAAATCGCATCTACTTACCTTCTCACCAACTGAATCAATGGTAATCCTGGACTACCATTCACTACCACATACGGGACACGCTCGCCCACGCGTGGTTCTGCGCGACGGTCTCGAGACAGTTGACGTCTAAAAAATAAAACAATTGAATTATGCGTGCAAGTTTATTTAGTTGTGTGGATCGCAAGATACTCTAGTTTCCTCCTGTAGTAACACTGCATAGTAACACTGGGAGTAACACTGGATCACTAAACACTGGATCAATAATCTTTCAGTCCAAAACTGATAAACAGTATAAATAAAGTTAAATAGAACAGCTTAGAACTGAGAGAGATATCCAGTATATAAATAAAGTTAATTTAGTTTAGGTTTCCTCCTGCAATAGCACTGGATTAATAAGAGATGTTCCTTACTGGACCTCTAGGAAGAACAGTTTAGAACTGAGGGAGATATCTATCCAGTATAAATAAAATTAGTTTAGGTTTACCTTGCAAGTTCCAAAGCAGGAACACAAGCTGTAGGTTTATAACCTTTCATGCCACGATATTCTTTAGCAAAGATGAAATCTTGAAGTGAAACTCGTTCTTCCATCAACTTTCGTAACTGTCGCTGAACAAATTTCTTCACTAAACTTATATCTTTCTCTTCAAACAAAATCCTCAGAGATTTCTCTAAGATCTAGGAAGAAGGGCAAGATTATCTTAATGTTTGGCAAAACTTTAGTCTCTCCTGCGTTCTCTCTCAATACACCCTTTCGATAATTACGTTATTTGACCTGGGAGCCTCGCTCTCATGAATCATAAGCCAATCACCTTGCGTAACTTACTAATGAGAGCGAGGTTCCAAGACCAAAAAGTATGTGTGACGTAATTATCGAAAGGGTGTATTAACTGAACTGATGAATGAATACCAGTTTCTCTGGGGGCTAAAACACTGAATGACCACGAGTGAAAATGGGAAAGAGAATGATTGACTTGATGCACTTCAAAAATTATGTAAATAGACTTAAGTCCCTCCTGTGTTCTCTCCCAGTAGACCTTTCCCTTTTTGAGTGAAATTTTGATCTAGATATGCCTGGACAAAAATTTCATCACAGCTTGAAAGAGCATCGCAAAATTAGTAATATTCCGAAGTTTCGTGGCGAAATGTTGTAAAATGCGGATAATATAGCCTTGCGAAGTTTGCCGTTTTTCAGTCATTTTGTATTACAAATGGAAAATTGATAATCAGTTTGATCATCTGGATATGGAAACCAGGCTTAATGGGTGAGTTAGTTATGAATTATGATGGCTCTTTTAAGACAGCAAAACTACTAACTACTCTTCAGAGCAAATACATTGCTATGTGAACACATGAAGTAACAATACCTTGGCAACCGCAGGGCAGGTATCTCGTCGTACAGTTTCAATTCCTTTAGCATCAAATACGGGTTCTTTTTGCTCGAGTGTTTCATACATGTAACCTACATAACGCTTCTTAGTCTGAAGTACGCATGGGAGGTACACCTAGCGACCAAGAAATGTATCTTTGTTAGTTCTCTTATATCCATTATGACTACCCTGAAAACAGACCTACGTTTCGCCCGCGAATTTTAGGGTGGGCGAAACGTAGGTCTGTTTTCAGGCTACATTATGACTGGTTGACTTCAGCCGGAAACATGTATACAAGGAAAACTAGCGCGTGTTTGAATTACTGACCTTCTCAAATTTTAGTTTGACAGGTTTCGGGTTTTCCGCAGTAACCGCGTCAACAATCTCCTTGCCAATCTGAAATGCTTCTTCTTTTGTGGCGCCTTTCACCAGGACGAACAGGCTGTCTGTATCCCCATATACCACTCGTGCACCCCATTCTTTCTTAGAGTTCACCAGATGTATCGCACGTTCTAACGTTTCCCGCGCTTTACGAACAATGGCGTCAGCAATCTACAAATTTTGAAAAAGGGCTCATTAGCGTGCATTGCGGCTTAACGGGTTAAATATAACGCAAATAAACTGAGTACCTCAACACAGGGCATTCGTCCAGAGAAGTTGGCAGATGTATACCCATAAGTGACGTTAGCAATCAACTTTAAACCAAGTTGACGAGCATCGAGCAGTTGTCCAAGGATCTGTACAAATGATGCATTTAATAAAAATATTCCGGAATTTGCATGAGGGCACACCAGGAATGACTCAACTTAAATAGCATCACACTGTCAGCTTCAAGTTCAAGTAATTGTATTGTCATTGCACTCGAGCAAATAATGGAAAGCAACTTTTCTTGTATTTTCTATTTATATTAGTCTCGACAGACTCTTCTCTCTTTGTAGGACGATCTAGAAGACATTAGTCAATTTTTTTTCTTGGGTATAAAGATTATCTCACACCTTATCATTTTTGTGTTCTTTCATTGCTTTCTTGACCATCACACGTGTGTCCAAAATCTCCTCAACCATTCTAAATGAGTTTAAAACACCTGGATTATACACAACATCACACAAAATGGTTCTGAAGATTTTTTACCTAACCTAAACTTTTACATTACATTAAACCGCCGTGGTTTGTGTCCGAACTCTGAATTACTTGAAAACGATTTTCATTTGATTACCTAGGTAAGATTCCTTTTCTTATATTAGGCTTCACAAAAGCAGAACCATTTGCACTAACATGGATGTCGTCTTCAAGTTTCTGCAAAATACAAACCATCATTCATGATGATTTCCCTCGCCTTCACTGAGAAATGTGGAAGGTCTCCGGGGTGGAGTAAGACAGCTGCTGAACATACCTCGAGAAGAGCTGGTGGCACATTTAGTGACGTACAACCAAAATCAAAATTGCCAATTCTACGAAAAAAAAAATCACGAAATTCGATTATTCTATATTCACCAGTTGGCCGTTTCATTAGAATGCTTGGTTTCTGTTTGCTGACACTTATTGGACATCTCTCAATTCTGTTTATTTACTTTCAAATACATAAATATAGTGGGGCATACTTTTACAATATGTTGCCACCAAAGATACGACCTTCGAGCTCATTTCCTGTATTCAAGCGAAGAGCACATGAACCGTTTTTGGACATGTTTATAAATGACTCTTAGTATAGAAGATTAAGTATAGTTAGTTGTACTTATAGATATATCATGTAGCCTTACTTCGTCTTAATAATTTATGTATGTAATGTGAATGTAAATTGTCCTGTACAGATATTTAGTTAATTTTAGAAGGTCCAGTGGAAGATTATAGCTTTTGCTAAACTGGCATATTTCTTGTAAATTAACCTTCTTTAAATACAGTTTAATAATAATAATAATACAAAACCACTGCATATGAAAAGATATAACATTGCTTTCTTACACTGATATTAAACCACCAGCTGTTGATCTGTCCTACTCAGTAAAACCCAGTTACAAATAAACACATACTTATCTAATCTTGAGACCTTGCCCAGGCACGTAGAGAAACAGTAATTGTAGGCGATCATCATAGAAGGATAGAGAGACTGGAAGTCAAGAACGATCACTGGGTCGGAATAAAACCGAGATTCTGGTTCCATTACCAGAGGAATACATTCAGGAGCGTCCATCCTAGGAAGATGAATTTAATAAAGGAGTCTTAATAAAACAAATAGATACCAGAATGTAATGATTGTGGTGTATGTGCTCAGGTGAAACTATTTAACATGATTTAATGTACTCAGGTGAATGATGCTTGTGATGTTACTTTGAGTGTAAATCCACACCGGACAAGCTTGAAAAATATGCCTGGCCACGGTGGGAATCAAACCTACAAAGGTCGTAGGTTCGATTCCCACCGTGGCCAGGCATATTTTTCAAGCTTGCCCGGTGTGGATATACACTCAGAGTAACATCACAAGCATCATTATTTAAGATTTTGTTTGTCTAAGTGTGTCAACATTTTCCAGATCGCGGTGGGAATACAACCCGCAACCTTTGTTTGGTTTGTCCAATGCTCTACCAACTGAGCTATGAGGTTAAGTCAGTTCGTTTGACTGATGTGGACACACTCGGAAAGACTGGGTTCTAATTCTGAATAGGTACCTTGCCCTCTGTTGAATACTCGGCGAGACAGCTAGGTAGTTCATTGGCTTGGCCAACCTTAACATCATGGATTCAACACGAAACTAAATATAGAAGAAATATCGGTTCTAAATCTGAACTAACGTTATTTATACTGGATAGCTCCACAGAGATCCAGTAAGGATCATCTCTTTTTGATCCAGTGGTACTACAGGACGAAACATAAACTAAACTAACTTTATTTATACTGGATAGATCTATCAGTTCTAAACTGTTCTCCCTAGAGGTCCAGTAAGGGCCATCTCTTATTGATCATGCAGTGTTACTACAGGAGGAAACCTAAATTAAACTAACTTATTTATACTGGATAGCTCTATCATTTCTAAACTGTTATTCCTAGAGGTCCAGTAAGGATCATCTCTTATTGATCCAGTGTTACTACAGGAGGAAACCTAAACTAAACTAACTTTATTTCTAGTAGATAGTTCTATCAGTTCTAAACTGTTCTTCCTAGAGGTCCAGTAAGGATCATCTCTTATTGATCCAGTGTTATTACAAGAGGAAACCAGTGAACCTGGAGAAAACTTGCAGTGTTTGGTCGAACGTGAGTTAACCCACCTGAGAGCCTCGGGAAATGACGCTGTAAAATAATATCCCAAACAGCCTTGCAAACTCACTAGTCCTATTTATAAAATCTACATGATTCAAAATCTTAATGTTGCCTTGACAACGTATGATGTAATGTTCCACTGTTCTCCATCTGTCGTGAGGTAACTTGTGGTCCCACCATCGTGTGAGTTGACGGTACGTGTACAGCGGTATCCTTTCGTGAAGTACATGGTACGATATATTCTCAAATGAGTACACATTCAAAGTGACCTGAAAATAAGCATGAATATAATAACCACGACAGTTTACTGTAAAATATTACCTACACTGGACCACAACGTTTGAGATATCTTTTTCAGGTACTTCAGACACAAACCACGACAGCTTGTTGTAGAATACTACCTACACTGGATCACCACGTTTGAGATATCTTTTTCAGGTAGTTCAGACACAAACCACGACAGCTTGTTGTAGAATACTACCTACACTGGATCACCACATTTGAGATATCTTTTTTAGCTAGTTCAGACACAAACCGCGCCGGTTAAATAAAACCATTACCTCATGTCTCATCAACCTCCATACATTAAGCACAATTCTCCCAGTGATTGAGATCTCTGACGTATGGTTTGCCCCCCATTGGTCCTTCTCAGCATTAAACCGCGCTGTACCGGAACTGTCCTGGACACGAGATAACTGTGGAGCTAGATCAATCCCAAGAGCACTCGCGCGCTGTATTAAATAACCCCATGATAACATTTGAACCTCAAAGCCCAGTAAGATATCAGGGTCCCAATCATGGACAAGTTTTATAAAACGATTAATAGCGTCCGTTTCTTGATGTTCAGTTAAAATGTTGAGTTCATTAGAAATTCCTGCATGACGGAGTAGACTGTCTTCATAAGATGTTTTATTTGATGTGCCGTGATGTGGGGCCGGCATTGAAGTTGAAGTATTAGCCTTGAAGAAATAGTAGTTATGATATAGCTGATACATAATAGGTCGGGTATACCGGAGTTCTGAAGTTCGTCACCGCTTACTTAAAACCTATACGATCTATTCAAGTGAAAGGAATTTATGGACTTTCTGATTCATCACTTTTTATCCATTTTTATCCTTACTTACCGTAGATACACTAGATGTATCACAGCTTCTCAATTTTGTAGATTCGTTCCGTACGACAATGATTCCGGTCTCATATTTCTTGCCTTGTGTTGTCTCGTGTTCAATGTGGTAAAATATCGCACATATGGGGTCAAATTCTGGGTCAGGACAGAGAGTCTTTCTAGTCCGAACATGAAGTTCTACACTCAGCAAGGTCAGAAATTGAACCTATGAAAGAAACCAATCATTGGTCATACAAAGTGTAGGTTAGAACGAAGCACTAGTGCAGTAGATGACGCTCAACTTGTAGTTATCAGAGTGAGATAATAATTATCACTTATTTACTGAGACCGAGGGAAACAGTGTGTAGGGGCCACAAAACACACTACTTTCCCGAGGTCTCAGTAAATAAGTGTTTTGTTATATAGTATGTAAGTGTCAAATTATGAATAATTCACCGGTTATTGGAGTGAAGTTAATTTGAAACCAAAACTGGATAAATGGAACGCCGTAAATGTTTAGTAAAAAGTTTAAAAATGAACTTTGGAATTTCATAGTTGACACGCATGCTTATTGCACCCATTTTATTATTGACCGGTCAATAAATGTTTGATTGCGGACCGCAGGGGTGGAAAAAGTATCGGACCACGGGACCATTGGTCCCAGAAAATGTTTTAAGCTCCCAGAAAATATTTCCCCAAGAAAGAAAACAATTGTCATAATTTAGATAATAGGAGAAATTCAGAGGAAAACCATGACCTTGGAAATGCAATTATAAGTGCATCCATTTTAATAGTGCAATTGTGTATAAATGTATTAGACTATAGACTGTATGGAATGATATGGAATGATGTAACAAATGTTGTTTGGCAAATGCATTTTTAGCCAATCTGGGACACCTGATTTTCTGGAGGAGCATGGATCCCCCTACTAGTGGCCTCTTTTGGCATCTGTATTTACCTTAGGATCAGACCCTTAATGCATGTTATCTATAAACTAGTTTTATGCTATTTTTTAAGATTCTCAGTGGACTGAAATATTGCATGACATCCAATTGTAAAATATAGCATGACATCCAATTTCACAACTTGTTAGCATCACACAGTTACAGTATCGAGTGTCAATTTACTTGATTATTTGCAGAAAATTTTCAATGTTCTTCTTGCGGTCCCAGAAAGTAAAATATTTTTTCCACCCCTTGTGGACCGGTTGCCGAACATGACGTTTTATGACGTTTTGTGGACCGGCACGTGATACGGTTTTGACCAATCGGCAAACAGAAAAATTGAACTTTGACACCAACTATATAACAATGTTAATTCTTCTCGTTGCATGTGTATTTGGAGGCAAATAAATGAAACTGAAAAATAGTTTTAAATTTTCTGCTCAACATTTCTATGTACATGGACTTGTGGTTAGAGCTGAGCAACTGGCCTCTGTAGCTCAGTTGGTTAAAACGCTGCACCGGAATTACAAGGCAGCAAGTTTGAAAAATTTTACACCTGGATTTTTACACCTGGATTTTTACACGTGGATTTTACACGTAGATTTTACTCGTGGAGTTTTACACGTGGATTTTTACACGTGGATTTTACACGTGGATTTTCAACCTGGATTTTCAACCTGGATTGTGGAGGTGAGACTCTATGTGAAATTGGATGGCCACCTACCTGACGGACAGATTTCGCAACTTGAATATTTGGTTGTGAGATTTTAAATCCAAAACTATTGGTTGGCGTTGGTCCCTCGATATACGAAGCTTCACCCGCTGATGGCCGATGGTGGTCTTGTGAATCACACTCCTATTTTGAAGAAAAAAAGCATTGAAATTATTCAAATGTATTTGACAGATGCCAAGAGAGTTGGTATAAAACGTGGCAAACAGACGAAGCATCCAGCAAGACGAACTACGTGCGTCGTTACACGAACAGGGGAAGAAAATACTTTGTTACTGGCAGTCACAGCGCACTTTCGCCACAAAACCAAGATGAAATGAATTGTTGCAGCACCATTGTCAGTACAGATCGCGCTAGTCAACGCTTCCCTATGTGGCAGACATCCCTTTTAAGGGGACACACACTTCTGGTCCCAATGTAAATAAAACACGATTATTATAACCCCTATTAAACAGACATCTTCTTTAATTAAAGGATTAGTGTCACACCGGGAATTCGCGGGCTCAAACTCCTGCTGGCGGCCATTTTTCAGGACGAATAGATTAGATGATCTGGAAAGTTTTTACAATCCGTCATATATTTAAACCATCCTTTTATAATACTTGCTCTTTTTGTGCGATTTTTATCAGAAATGTACCAAACAAGGTATTTTTATCGCTATTTGTTGTATTTAAGTAAAATGTAAACAATAACAAAAGCCCGCAATGCATGACCCTGACACTAATCCTTTAAGCGGATATATTTATGAGGTCCCAAAGGTGTCGGTCTAATTCTTCTCCAGGATAGGTGAGTTTGTTCTGTGTTCATACTATGACGGATAATTGATGTCTGTATAAACCAGGCAATATTTCAATGTCGATGGACTTACTTTTACTTGACTGTTCAATATATTTCTTCTCAAACTCTTGATCTTACAAGATTTTTCCTCACTGGAAATCTTCGATTCCAAATCTTGTTGCAACAATTTCGCTTCATCACCTTCTACGGGCGTGCACTGCCAGAATTTCCGAGATTTCATTCTAGGATTTCCAACAGGCGTACTATGCTGAGGACCAAACAGAACATCGCGTGAAATGCTTTGAGAGACACCTTGGGTTGGTTGTGAAATTTCTCGTAAATCAAGAGTACGATCAGCCAATTTTGGTGAATGAGTGACAACTGACGATTCCCTAGAAACTAGAATTTCAGTGTTATCATCTTTGGGAGATTTTTCAGAATTTTCACCCCTTGGAATATTTGACAGTTCAGCTTCATCAGGAAATGTATTCTTCTCCAAACCTTGCGAAATATAATTTCCAACTACTTCCGGTTCTTGAGACTGCGATGTCAGCTGGTTACCACTCCGTCTCTCTTTCATCCATTTCCGAACATCTTTGGGTGAAGGGGGGAGTATGACAGGGGTTATTATCACCTGGTGATCCCCCATCAATGCAAGTTTCAGTTCCCTAGGTACACCTATATATCCATCATTACCACTTTGTATATCTAGGGATCTCAGACAATCCCTAAGTAAACTGTTATCCATGTGATCCCCCGTCTGACGACGAAATTCATGTAAGGTTTGGAAACTTCCACCCAGGTCAAACTCAGGCAGTTCATCAACCTGCAAGGAGAACAGAAATTATAGAACTATCAAGTTAAAGTTCCGTTAGTCCAGTGTAGGTTTCCTCCTGTAGTAACACTGGATCAATAAGAGATGACTCTTACTGGAACTCTAGGGAGAACAGTTTAGAACTGATGGAGCTACCCAGAAGAAGTAAAGTTAGTCTATTTATAAAGCGAAACTCACTGATAACGAAGATACTTGTAAACGACGGCCACCAATGACTCTACAAAGACAGATAATTGTTAGAAGAAGAAAACAAGCTGTAAACACGACAATATACAGTATTCAATCATATCTGTCAAACCTGGATACTGAAGGAATGTCTTTAGGGTCGCTGCAAAATGCTTTTTGATGTCGTTCATGTGGCAGACCATAAAGACGTCGTGTTTCTAAGACATAGCTTGGTGATGGCGCCTCTGTAGCTGGTCTCCAGATTTTAGAATGATCATCTTTCTCAGAATCGTGGTGGGACTCGATAGTGGTCTGTGGCATTGAGTGACACTTGTCCATACTACCATCTTTATCAAATGTATCAAGTTTATCAGAAAACGTTACGACTAAATCATTTTCATCATTGACCTTATGTAACGATGTTGTCATTTTAAAATGATCATCTTTCTCAGAATCGTGGTGGGACTCGATAGTGGTCTGTGGCATTGAGTGACACTTGTCCATACTACCATCTTTATCAAATGTATCAAGTTTATCAGAAAACGTTACGACTAAATCATTTTCATCATTGACCTTATGTAACGATGTTGTCATTTTAAAATGATCATCTTTCTCAGAATCGTGGTGGGATTGGACAGTGGTCTGTGGCATTGAGTGACACTTGTCCGTACTACCATCTTTATCCAATGTATCAAGTTTATCAGAAAACGTTACGACTAAATCATCTTCATCATCTACCTTATGCAATGATGTCGTCATTTTGGTATGGTCATTTTTCTCAGAATCGTGGTGGGAATGGATAGTGGTCTGTGGCATTGAGTGACACTTGTCCGTACTATCATCTTTATCCAATGTATCAAGTTTATCAGAAAACGTTACGACTAAATCATCTTCATCATCTACCTTATGCAATGATGTCGTCATTTCGGTATGGTCATTTTTCTCAGAATCGTGGTGGGATTGGATAGTGGTCTGTGGCATTGAGTGACACTTGTCCGTACTACCATCTTTATCCAATGTATCAAGTTTATCAGAAAACGTTACGACTAAATCATCTTCATCATCTACCTTATGCAATGATGTCGTCATTTTGGTATGGTTATTTTTCTCAGAATCGTGGTGGGAATGGGTAGTGGTCTGTGGCATTGAGTGACACTTGTCCATACTACCATCTGTATCCAATGTATCAAGTTTATCAGAAAACGTTACGACTAAATCATCTTCAACATCTACTTCATGCAATGTCGTCGTCGTTTTTGTATGGTCAGTTTTCTGAGAATCATGATGGGATTCGCTATACGTTTCACGAGGCAAATTTTGATCCTTGGAGACATAAGGACTTTCATCATCTTTAACAACTCTATTCATATCAATGTTTGTTTCTCCTGACGACTCCTGCCCCCCAAACACACCAGGACTTTCAATGTCTTTTAATATTTCTTGTATATCTAATCCTGGCTGTTCTTCAGAACTGAAGGAATCGCAAACTGCGGAGATTCCTGGGGACATTATGTCCATGTCCCTACATATTTCCACTTCTCGTTCTCGTATATCCATACATGACCCTGCTTCATCACCATTACTAGATGCAGATATTCCTGGGGATAATGAATCATTAAAACTATTAGCACAAGCTGTGAACTCTTTCCCAATATGTTCCTTACTAGCAGACACAGATTGACACGCGATATTCTTGACTTCTTCCTCGCTTACAAATTTTATCGGAAAATCTACAGTGGTCGGTTTCATGGAAAAAACATCAGCATCAACATCATTATCCAAGGTAATTTGGTTATGAGTAAACTTTGTATCTGCATTTTGTTTATCTTTATCACTCAAAGAAGGTACCAGAGAATTGAAGTGTTTCTTTGAATAACCCTTGCTCATATTTATTTCTTTATCTAAACCGTCACCTTTTCCAGGGAACAAGGAATTGTCTAAACTCTGCTCATGTGAATTCAGTGAAGGTGATGATGGCAGTGGAGGAGAGTGTACATCACTCGTAACACTTCTTGGAGACAACGTTGCCATTTGATAAAGTGAATCTAACTTGTCATCTATCACAAAATCCTTTGAGTTCCGAGTATCATCATTCATTTCGACTGCGAGGGAGACTATATCCTTCACATCCTGAGGGGAATACTCAAGAACGTTCGCTTTATTGTTCTTAGATTTCAATTCTTTCACAGAAATTTTCTCAAGTCTAATGCAAGCATCAAGCATAATCCTGTTTTCTCGGAACTTGCTCTCATTCTTCACTTCTCTATTTCCTGAATTTCTAGAAACACTGACTTGATTTTCTTTCTCAACGTCTTTAGAAATATTGTTTTCATTCTTAATTTCTTTACTATTTCTGGAATTTCTATGAATCGAGCATTCATTTTCTTTCTTATCTTCTATATTATTTCTTTCATTTCTAGGACACTCCTTTATTCCACTTGTTAAATCATGACTTGTGATAGAAAGTTTGGAACGCATTTCTGGCTTATCATAATCTGTTTTTGCAAAGCTACATTTATCTGACTTGCGGGACGTGCCAGTTTTAGAAAGATTTAACTTGTCAGCTTTATTCTGGTTATCTACATGAGTAAACATCAAACAAGTAGCTTTCTTGGATCTAGTTCTTTTCCGTTTCCGAGATTCCAAATCATTCCTAGATTTCTCTGTATCTTTCGAGGAATGTTTAGCTGAGCTATTTCCTGATTTGAGAGGTGATGTGGTAGGTGCTCCTATTTCACATCCATGCTCAAGGGAGCTCGAATAAGATTTCTTCGAAATCCTAGTTTGGTTACTAGAACTTGATTTACGATTCTGAGAAATAATAGTACTTTTCAGAGAACACAACTTTGCGTCTTTGTCTAACAATTCTGTATTTATAGTTTTGCACTTTTTATATTTTGAGTTATCTTCCTTAGACAATCTGGATTTAACGGGCGATTGTTTCGCAACATGAAAACTTTCATGTTTGAGATCTCCTGCGGTAATTTTCGAAACTTTTTTTTTACATTTAAAGTCTTCACCGTCACTGGAACTGTCACTTAAACGAAGTTCAAAATCAGAAGTTTGTGACCCACTGGATTCTGTTTCTAAATGTAACAAATTATATTTCATTTTCTTGGAGGTTCTTGATTTTATGTTAGTCATATCTTCATTCTTGGAATTTGGTCCATGGCTATTTCCTTTGTTCTTATCATGATCTTCGTTTTTGTGTTTAACAAGACTTCTTATTTTCCCTACTTCGCCAGTACCCAGACATTCTTTGTCAGTTGTCCGCTGTTTCGATGATTGATGAAATAATTCCAAATTCGGAAATTTTCCTTCATTCCAGTTCGCTATTTCCGATCCAACGGGCGGACGATACCGGTGAGTGTTCGTAGCTGGTTCGGAAAGAATCGTGCAACTTTCGTGCCTATTCTGGTGCTTGGAATTCCCGCCTAGCACATTGAGTTGCGCAATAGCAGTTTTCCTCGGTCTTCTTGGCAGTTCACGTTTTGTCCTGGAAATATTTTTGTGATTTCCAGAAATTTTTGGTTTCTTTTTTATTCGAAAATCATCATCATCATCGGATTTCATTTCTTTATTTCCACCCATTTTCTTTTTCTTGCTAGTCCGTGCAGTGGTGCTTTGGTTGCTAAGTGACGGTTCGTCGTCATCAGCAGGCCCATCAAGTTGAGGAATACGTTGTGGTTTCCAGTCTTCTTCGTCGTCATCTTCAGCGCTTTAAAGAATAAGATGAAAATAGATAATCAGTTGTCACGTTTCACCTCAGTCACAACTCACAAGAGTGTTTCTAGTTTCCATCAAACATCACAGGTTTGCTCAGAGTATTTTGGTCTCCTGCTATAGTAACACTGACCTAATGGGAAATGGTCTTCACTGGACCGCTATATCCAGTTTAAATAAAGTATATATTCGACCCGATGCCGATACCGATTATCGGTCAATCCACGTCTTTAAAAACTTCCTTTTATTCGTGTCAATTCATGAACTACAGCTGTCTTGGGTAAATAAAACGGGATTTATCAATGAACGAGGTAGTTTGAAACAGAGCTAACTTATGGAGGGTTGTGTTCGTATACCACAATTGATCAGACAAAGGGTGTTCCGACATGTAATTGATCCGACAAGGGTGTTAAACGATTCCTTCTCAGAATCCCTTGTCCATGTACAAGAATGTAACTTACCTTTGTGAGCCACTCTCACAATCCTCGATCTGATCATCGTCATTCCAGACTGGTTGAGACATAATTAATGATTCTTCCTCTTCATCATCACTCTCTGTCTTCTCAGACACAATCACTAACAAAGAAAGAACAACAATTAATTACCTATAACCATGAAAAAATTACATACATCCAATCCTACTTCAGAACCATCCTCAAAGATATGAAAACATATTGTTCTGACACTGCAGAGTACAACAAAAAATGCATTGTCTCCAGCGAGATTTGAACTCGCGTATTTGGATCCCACTCAAGACAACAGACTTTTTGTTGTACTCAGAACCAGATAAAACTGCATTATATAGGGGTTGGGTAATCAAGGATTTTCTTACTTTGTGATGTGTTTGCTGTAGGGCTACATTCTTGAGGTTCAGAATCGTTGGGATCGTCAGCCAAACTCAATAATATGGCAACCAATTCTTCATCAATTTGTCCAGCTAGAAATTAGGAGCTGATGGAATGAGTACTTAAGAGCCATAAAAAATTTGCTACGTACATACTGTGCTAAAAGTGATAAAAATGTCTTACACAAGCTGCTTGGCTGGGACTGACTTGCTTGAAGAACATCTTCAATCACAGATTCATCAACAACTGGGATATTCTCATCAACATCTATTAATAACAATTTAAGAATGGTTCCTGAAATCAATAAATAACATATAACAAATGAGAGCCAGTTTATCATGCAACTAGAAGAAAGGCTGTACCTTGACTAATCATACACTGACTATAAGGTTCCTTCCCATCTAATAAAATACTTTGAGAGAATTCTTGGAACTCTTCAGGTGAGAGAGATTTTTCCATGATTTCAAGTTGACTTTGACTAATTAAAAATAAAAATAAGTGAACTCTACCTGTGCTAAGTTGCTAGGTTGAAGCAGTTGTTGTTGCTGCTGCTGTTGTTGTTGTTATTGCTATTGTTGTTGATGTTGCTACTGTTGTTGTTGTTGTTGTTGTTGTTGTTGCTGTTGCTTCTGTTGTTGTTGTTGTTGCTTCTGTTGTTGTTGTGTTGCTGTTGTTGTATATATTGCTCAATATATTGAAGTATTGCAAATATCTAACTATTGCAAAAATGGGAAACTTACATCATTTGAATTCGTTCCTGAATTATTTCACGGATTCTTCCTTTGAATTCCCTCTCAGAATTAAGTAACTTCATTTCACCTCTGTCTAAAAATCAAACTTGATTCAGTTGATTGGTTGCTTTCAGAGTAGCAGATTGTTGTCAGTGATGTCATAGGAACAAGAAAATTAAATTACTGTTAGGAAATAATTAAACCTTGTGATATGGGAATGGATATTTGTGAAGGTTGTCCATGATCACGCCTGCGTTGCTTCTCGTCCTCCCACATGGCGGCAATTCCTGGGTTGCGACCTATACTTGCTGCAAAATCAAAACATAGTCTGTTGGTAAAATTAATGGCCACATTCAGGGGTGAAACTTGAGGGCACTATGGAGGGGTGTGGCACCCCCAAAGTACAAGTCATCCCAATTGGAAGGGCAATCAAAATGCAAAAAATTCCAATAAAATTAAATAAATGAATTATGAGTACAATTTTAAATGATAGAATGTGGAGTTATTAAGTAACTTATTACAGCTAACAAACAATAAGCAGTTTGTATGCATGTACAGTGGCATCGGCAGTTCAATTATACACGTAGTGACGTATTGTATTAGTGCTACAGGCTGCAGGGCATCATTAGTTTTGGCAGAGCAATTCTGCCAGACACCCCCCTAAGGGGTTAGTTTCACCCCTGGCCACATTGAGACGGACCATCTAACAAGACGCATCATCTGTTATAACACATTAATGCAAAGACAAGAAAAGCTAAGTCTATATTAAGAGCACAGTCTTATTATGATGGCATTGGTTCTGGGAGAAATCATGCTTTGATTTTTTTTATTCAAACAGACATGTACATAATGTTGTTTAATCATTACTAACTTCCAATTTCCAGTTGATTTAAAATATCTTCAGCAATCACATCTACTTCTAGTTCACAACGACTGGTTTTGGCAATATCAGTGGCAAGACATAAATCACTGCAAGAATTACATAATGATTTAAGATGTGTACAGCTTAACAAATATAGATAAGATTTTGCTGTTGTCTGTTCAGTTATAGATACACAGTTCTGTATGTCATAATGTGGGAATTAAAAACAAAAAAGTGGCTCGCGAGCTGCTGAGGCGAGTATTGATTGAATAAACAAAGTCATAACACCACAACTAATACCTCGGGATGGTATTTTCAGTCCAGTATTGCCAAGACGTGGCACTTGTGTGAAATGAACTTGAATCGTTTGGATTACACGAGGAGACATAAGATGAACTTGTTTGACTTCGGGAATTTTTCTTTTCTACAAAAACATGAGAATAAATTACCAAGAGATAGCATTTCATTTGCCCTTACAAAGCAAGCCTGAATCCAATAGGAATGTATACTTCATACAATATTCAAATACTGACCTATTCCTGACGACCCTCTGAAAAGGACCTTTCGTGCATGAAGGAGATTCATTCCATATAAATTGAAGTCAATAAGAAACTGGAAATAATGAATAAAGAGATTGCAGTTGTTATGAGCAAAGCAACTTCACCATTGAAATGGTATGATCAGTGGCGGAAATCTTGGTGGGGCGGTCGCCCCCCCCCCCCCCACCTTCATGGAAAATTGCCGAATTTTTGGAAATTTTGACCTAAAAGAGGGCTAAAAACAGTCTTTTCGAGTGCAAATGGGCAGGGGGGGGTTATGTCGGAAATTTGAAAGTTTTGTCGGAAATTTAGGAGGCTTTGCCCCCGCACCGGAAAAAGTGAATTTCCGCCACTGGGTATGATCGTCTTCATTAGACAGAGTAAAGTAAGTAACATACCTGTAAGAGGTATGGGATGTGGGATTCATATGGTTGAAAAATTTTGTTAAGAATAGCACCATTTTGAAGCAAGTCAACAACCCTAGAGATAAAGTTATCTGGCATTAAACAGGGTAAGACAAAAAGTATGGTGGAAACATTGTACATTAACTGTTTAACAGAAATATATTCTATAAAAGTAACCATACTTGGCAACCATTCTTGGGTTATAAAACTGGATCTTAATAAACTCTTGTTCATCCTTGTGATAACCGTAAAAGGGTCTGGAAAAATGAAAGAAAATTCCAAGACTTTCAAGAACCTCTATATAAGTTTCTAGGATTTTCAACCCTAATGGATTGGGAATCCTCTATATAATATTGTTAGAGTTATGATTTTTTCTGTGTTGGTGTAATGTACTCAGGTGAATATTGTGCTTGTGATGTTACTCTGAGTGTAGACCTGGCCGTGTAGCTCAGTTGGCGGAGCATTGGGCTAGTATTCCAAAGGTCGTAGGTTCGATTCCCACCGTCGACAGGCATATTTTTCAAGCTTGCCCGGTGTCGATATACACTCAGAGTAACATCACAAGCATCATGTTAGAGTTAGCTGTCACAGGCTAATGTCAACAAGAAATTTAGTTCAGATCTTGCAATAAAAATTGTAGATATATTGTTACATATATAGTTAATAGATACATTGAAAACAGCTATACAGTTAATCGAACAAGTAGTATAGCAAAATATTTTGAAATATATATAGTATATACTTACATACGTCTGACAATTTCAGTCTTATAAACATGATTGGTGGTCGAGGTCGCCTTGCCCAACGCAACTTGAATAGCAAAATCTACGCTGGTTGCAAACTGTTTTAGATATTTTTCTCTAGGTTGGGTGCCATCATAAGGCACAAATATATATGGAAACACTTGATGGACATGTAGACAAGTTTTTTGACCACTAGGAGTTGAACCAAATATACGAATAACTGGCACACGAGTTACATTTGCTTCACGAAATTCTGAATAGAAAACATCTAATCTTGCTGTAGGCTTTGTGACATAAAAATCTGCATCCACAATTCTAACAGAAAACATTTCGTTGGTTGAAATTCCAGATTTCTCTCAAATTCGTGCTTTGAACAACATTTGTCAAACGAACAAGTTCAAGCGCGCCCGATGCCGCCATATTTGTTTTGATGGTTTGGATTAGCGAGTTTATTCAAAACCGGATTAAATTAAATCCAGAGTTATCATTAATTCCTGGATTAAGGATTAAATAAATTATCTTGCGCTCAACTTAACAAAAAATATTAAATTTTACAGTACTAAAAATTGTATTTTTTTAAAAATTATTGAAACAATTAACTATTGTTCACATAATTATACACTCTTCCAGAATATATGTCACTTTTTATTTAAAGCCTAACACATCAATGACGAAACATATGACGGCTCTTAGTCCCAATTTATAGCCAAAGTGACATATTTTCTGCAAGGGTGTATTGTAATTTAAAATCCCACACAAACCCCTAACCCCTAATCCTAAATATGATCCCGCTTACCGGGACGTCTCGCTTACCGATGATCTCGCCGCCTATCTATTTTCCTATAAAATTTTGCATTGTGTTCATATGAGAAAGCGAGCTGGCCCGCTTGCCGAGATCTCGTTTGAATTTGCCGAGATCATAGGTAGGCGGGATGAAAATTTTTCCATATGAACACGCCAGCCCGCTTACCGGGATGAAGTGAAACAAATCTTGCCGGTTTAATTTAACACTTTTTACTTGGTTTTATGTTTGTTTTGTAAACAAGTATTAAATAACCACCTGAAGCAATACTTTTTCTTGTAAATAAACGAAGAAAAACACTAAAATCGCTAAGTATTTGTGTTGCTTGACTGAAATGTAGAAGTTTTGCATACGCTAATTATAGAACTACAATGTAATTTCATCTCGGCAAGCGGGACGAAATACTCCATATGAACGCACGGAAATATTCGTCTCGGTAAGCGAGACGTCCCGGTAAGCGGGATCATATGAACAGGCCCTTAATCCTGATTAATATTGCAATGTCATTTTAGTTGGATTTGCTTGAAATCTAATAACATTTCATATATGGTATCATTGTTGTATTTAAAAGAATGTTTAAATGATTGTGTCAGATGAATGTTTACATATAGCCTGCAGGCTAGTTTACATATAACAGGGTCATGTGCCTGGTCTTTTCCATTTTGTAAAACGGATTCAATTACTTTACCATCGCCCAATTACAAAACTACTTAATTAATTTAAAGTTTCCATTAGCTTTAATATGTTGTAACATTTTCTCAGCTCTCTCCAGTCCACTGAAATAAGCTCCATGAACAAAACCATTGTATAACTCATTAGTTGCTTCACCAGCAAAATACATTCTTGACACATTCGAGGCTAATGCAACGTAATCCTCATGTGAGATACCAATTGGATTGTTAGAATAGCAACCATAAAACAATGGGTCATGATGCCACCTTGGGTAGTTGAACGCAATAGGATTTGGGATATCCTTGCCATAAACGTTACGTAAAACTGTCATGATTTCTGCTTGTGTTTCCTCATTACTTTGATACTGAACTCTAGTTGCTTCTTCTCCTGTTATAGTAACAATGAGAATATTTAATCCTTCATCCGGTAAGCCAGCATCTACCTCCAGATCTTGCCACACAGGATAATACCCTCGTCTCGGACTAGCATACAAAATGTACTGTTTCCTATCCCAAAATTTGCTTGGAAATTTTAAAAATATTTTAATATAATCTGCCATTTCAATCTTATAAATTGGTTCAAGAATGTTGGCTGGCAAATCTGGGGTAAAGTGAACAGCATTACTTTTTAACACGCCAATACTGAACGTCATCAGGAGGTAATCAGCAGAGTATATTTGTCCTGTAATTGTAGAGACTTGTACGCCATTGGTGTCCCATTTAATATTGTCAACCACTTGGTTTATAAGTAACCTAGGGTCTTCTGGCTCAAGAAAGCTATTGGCCATTTCTTCGACAAGGACAGCATAACCTCTTGAGTCGAAAACAAAAAACTGTTTGCCCCCAACAGAGTCTATGCTACCATTTGTGAATGATTTAACTCTAGCAGAAGTATAGTGTGGACGGACACCAGCATCAAAGTCGATGTAAAAATACTCTGCAGATGACTGGGCAGGGTTTTGTGGCTGCCAGCCTGCGAGCCGTAACCCAGTTCGGACATCAATATCGGGCATACCTGCCTTCCGTCTTTCTTCAACTATTTCATCAAGTGCATCTGATGCTTTAGCCATTCCGTCATGGTTATCTTCATTGGTTACATCATGACCATGTTCATCTCTGACAATATAATAGCCTGGTTGTGGATATGCCATAGTATAATTCCCTTTTAGCCCATATTTCTGAGCAAGTTCCCATATTGGGTTATTTTTCAGACCTTGAACCCAATTAGCTCCCAGTTCAATAATAGTATCAGCAAATTCTGCCTTACGCATTCTGCCACCAATACGTTCATATCCTTCTAATATAGTGAAATCTTTAACGCCATTTTCATGAAGAGTTTTTGCTGCTGTAATCCCTGACATCCCTGCACCCAAGATAAGAACTTTAGAATGTTGAACTTTGTGTTGGCCCTGTTGGGCACGCTGTGATTTCCCAGTTGCTATCGTGATAAGAACAAATAATGGAATGCAAAATAATAGTAAAAATTTCATAAAAAATCCGTGCAAATCCATAATTTATTCAGTTTTATGCAACTTGATTTCGAAATGTAACAAATAAACATAAAATGTTGCACAATCAGAAAATGTTACAAATCCAATTAGAAAGTAGTCGCCCGCTTATTTATTTTACACCTGCAACCTTTAAGGCCGTTTTCCACTTGGCGGAATTTCTAGAATTTCTCTTTGTCCAATCTCGTTCCCCGAGCCTGCGATCCTCGGGAAGGAATCGAAGGCTCTGGGATAATCCGTTACCGGAAGCCAAGAATCCAGGCTAAGATTGAACTACGCATTCCATTTCAATGGCCAATCAGATTCCTCCCTGAAACGGATTATCCCAGAGCCTCGCGTTCCTTCCCGAGGATCGCAGGCTCGGGGAACGAGATTGCTCTTTGTCTAGTGATTTCTCATCCTCGTACCCAGGTTCTTCTCGGGTGGAACTAATTAGAAAAGACAAAGAGAAATTCCGCTAAGCGTGGAAAATTCCGCCTAGCTAGTGGAAAACGGCCTTCAGGGACTTTAGACGAGAGATGCACCATATAAAACACTCATGATCTCACCTATACCAGTCGCAAAAAAATACAGTTTCAAAATATTTAATCTGTCAAAACACTCTTGGGCGTCGCATTATTCATTGTTTATGTTATGAGGAAGAGTTTTATATCTTAATTCAGTTACTCTTAATATGTCTTCATTCAATGACGAAATCTTTGTGAATTTTATTTTTTGATTGTGCTAGGCAATGATTTTCATAATATTTTAAGGAATTTAGCCGGGTAAAAAAACACCGTTAAAATTCCGCTCTGACTGGTATTTTAATGTTTATTGTCCCTACGGAAAGACACCATTGTTTTCCGACGCGGGTATAAAAATATCTGCGACGCTTCGTCAGATATAAATCGGTTTTTGCATATTTGCATTTCAATAGCTAGCCCACTCATCGGCTTCAGTTGCAGAGGAACACGGAATTATTACTGTAAGCTTCAGTTGTTTTGTGAAAGATTTTGAAGTCAAATACAAGTGAATGGGCTGAAAGCACAGATCGATTGCCAAATGTCAGATTCGGGTATGTGTATCAAAGTTACAGTAGTTTTATTTTAGCTACAAGTGTGTTTGATTCATTGAATATCGATGAATGCCGATCAAAATAGAGCACTAAATCTAGTATTGTCTGGCTTATCTAAAATCTTCACTAGAAAAGGTTTCGTATCCTCTCGAGGGTAAAATCGGCAGCAGGGTCCAGGAAAGATTTTGAGGTGCACTAACCCATCAGTTATATTTGTTTTATATTAGCGATACATCTGTTAGCTCTCTTAAGAGTTTGTTACTCAGTCACCGAGTCTATTTCCCTCATTTTCACCGCATAGTGAAAATAAAAGTGATTAGGTTTGGTTAAAGATGCCAATTGAATGTTGAGTGATATATACACAACGGTGTTAGGTGGTTTTATAGAGGTGTATTACAGAAAGATGGCACAGGTGCGACAATAGATATATATAATTATATCCTCATATATTTTGTTTGATTACGTCACATGACAAATATCTATATAACTTCAGAATATTTAAATGTAAATTAAACCTAGTTAAATTGGTATTTGCGACTGGCAAAGCCCTAGTGCTCTAGATTGAAGTATTTTCTTCCGTTGAAATTGTGCTTTGATGTTCTCTTTGTGCTTATAATACCCGACACATGTTTTACATATTTGAACGTGATGGATCAGAATTAGCATTAAAATATCCTAACTAATGTCTATAATGCTATCTTACAACAGAAGATTAATTTCACGATCCTTTGTCCAAATTGTTTGTGATGAAATATTTGGTTTCACTTGATTTATTTATTTATTTCTAAAAGCGGTATTTCTTTCTAAAGGTTTAAAAGTAAAACCCCGCAGAACCTATAAATACATATTGAATACATACGCTTTTCATATCATAAAACAGCCAGCTTTTTACCCGTGCCAAATACTCAACTCAAGTGCAGTTTTCATTTCACGATCAGCTGAACATGAACGCGACAACGACGCTTTTCAAAATTTCTACTCAAAATTCATTATTTCTTTTTTTGGCGATTTCGCAAACAGGAAGATTTCAATCAGAAACGGAACTCATATCTTAAATTCTCAATGGCCAATGACCATTTCCGAAACTGTTCAATATAACATTCAACAAAGACGCCTTGAGGTTATTTCTAGTTGCCGTATTGAGAGTTACATGATATGCAACTGTATTCATAAGGTTTTTCTCACGATGACTTAGGGGCTGTTTATATGAGCCCGGCTAGCCGCGATAAATCGTGTCACGAAACTGTTTTCCCGACCATGAAAAATAGTTTCAATGCCGAACTTTATACTGTTACTGGAACCAAACCTGAGCAATTCAACTTTGAAATTTTATTCTGGACGCTTATCAAAGCTTACTCTCCCTCGCAGACGTTCTTAAAGCTCCAACCCTCGCTAGGGAGAGTTGCCCCTAATACCATTGCTTAGGTCTAATTCAAATATGGATCTTTTCATGTGCCAAATACTTTTAATCACTGTAAAAATAATTCAACTCCATTGGAATTGTAAAGGCACACTGACGTTTGTTGCGCCTTCTTCCTCATTCTAATAAAGACTTAATAATAATAGTAATAATAAACATCATACTAGTTTGGCTGAAACAATGAGTTTAGGTCATTTGCATTAAGACTATAAAGTTCAGCAGAATGCTTCGTGCTAAAGTTCAGCAGAATGCTACGTGGAGTTGTTCATATGGAACTGGGCTGTGCCAGTTAATTGGAATGATTCGTTTAATAAGGCTTTTATCACAGCTTTCAGAAACATCCAAAATGACAAAGTTGAATTATTTAGCTTGTAGTTTGATTCCAGCAACAATTATATAAAAGGTTCATTCAAGGTCACAAGGATATAAATTTTCTACAGTGTCAGAATAAATATGAGGCTATGATTTTTTAAACCATTTGCTGTTGTGAGATACAGTGTTTGTGTCTTAATTAATTTCTTTGTGGTCTACCTTCATTTTTTTTCTCCGGTAATTCGGACACAAATTTTGACCCCGAGACCTTGAGATATCAGTTTAAGATGTTTTATGACCAGTAGCATGGTATGAATGATCTACTGGTAACTGTGCTATAAAGTTAGTTGTCTTAGTAATGTAGTATACAGGGTGGTGTATAAAAAAAAACGCAACCTCGGAATTTCCCAAGAATCAACATTGTTTTAAAGACAAAAGATTTTAGGCTACTGGGAATTTAAAATAGCACAACTGTCAAAATTACTGCACACACGTGAGTGCATAAAGCAAAATTTATGCATTTATTTAATGCACAACAACAGTAATATGATGCTTAAGAATTACAAAGTGATTTCTTAAGCCCGCCGCACACCAGAGCAACTTGCTGAGCTAACCGCCTCGCGAGGCAGCTAGCTCAGCTATGTATTTTCACCGCACACGTTGAGAAAACTACTCAACAACAACATAATTGACAAAATCATTTGCATTTTCCTCCATTTTGTTCCTAGTCACATGAAGAAACTATGATTTGTCATTGGCTAATTGATTCAAACAGCTCAGCACTTAGCTCACAATAGCCGCAGACGCTGAGATTTTTTCCTCGCGAGGCGAAAAATATCAAGCACGATAGATATTTTCCTCAAGGCCTCGAGAGGTCAAATCCTCACGAAAACTATCCGCACACGAGAGCAACCTGTTGAGCTAGCTGCCTCGCGAGGCGGTTAGCTCAGCAAGTTGCTTCGTGTGCGGCGGGCTTTAGGAAATTCCGCGAGGTTGCGTTTTTTTTTTATACACCCTGTACAAACACTTCGAAAAAGTATTCGAGAAAAATTTCATGCTGGTTGTGTTTGAGAATGGTATAAACAATTCTCACACTCCCTAGAGTGACTCTGCTGGATCAGCTTAATATTGAAAATTTTGTGTGTGTTGGTGTTATATGTACTCAGGTGAATATGATGTTTGTGATGTTACTCTGAGTGTGCACCCACACCGGGCAAGCTGAAAAGTTAGCTTGGCCACGGTGGGAATCGAACCCGCAACCTTTGGGATACTAGTTCAATGCTCTGTCAACTGAGCTACGTGGTCAAGTCGGTTCGAGTTGATGATATTTCGGAACTGAGTCTAGTTCCTTCAATATCAGTGTATTCTAAGATATGATTATTTCATGTGTGTTGGTGTTATGTACTCAGGTGATTAGGGACCTTAAGCAAACAGGACGGCGACGCCGGCTATTCACACAATGGTATTCCTGATCTCGTACAAAAGAAATGAATAATTAAATACCCCACGGGAGTTAGAGACGTTGTGTTAGGGCTTTTTATAACGGCAAAACAGAGATTTTCACGTCTCGTGTACAACGCAAACATGTCAAGACCCGACAAGTGAAACTACAAATTTGCTGAGCAGAAGCGTTTTTAACCATAAAGCCTTTGTTTTAATCTCTTCAAATTGAACTCAATTCATATATACATGCATACAGTGGATAATACATAACAACTCTTCTTCACAATCATTTATTTGAAGAAGTTTGTTTTGGCTGTCATCGTCGCGTTGCCGTCGTATATGTGCAGCTTAAGGTCCCTAATATGATGTTTGAGATGTTACTCTGAGTGTTAGAATGTTAGGGTTTGTAATCCAAGTGAGAATAGATACATTTTAAGACCTAACCAGGTACAACTGCGAAAAATGCAGCACAAGGTCCTCTGGTAGGTAGGAATTATTGAAGTCTACTCTGAGTGTGCATATACACGGGATGCACGCTCATGCAGAGTAACATCAAAAACATAATATTGAAAAGTTATTTCTCAGGTAGTTGAGACAAAAACCACAGCAGCTTATTTTTCATTACTTATATATTCCCAGGTGATGACGCTGCTACAGAATGGTATGAAGAACCAATCACAATCGTGGGATTTGTTGCAGGATTTCTACTCCTCATGTTAGTCATAGCCAGTGTTCTTATACTTTGTTACTCCAAGGAAGAGGATGATGAGGACACTGAGGAACATAGCGCTACCTCTAGGGACAATCATGGTCTAGATGGGACAACATACGAACATGATAAAACAAATCCACTATACGTTTCAGCCAATCAGTTTGACCTTCGGCCATTCCCGACGCCACTTCGAGCCAAGTTCGTGCATATTCACCTCGATGAACCCCGAGGGACCAGAGAAGGTTTTGAATCGTATTATAATACAGCTCGCCGCACCTCAGATGCATGATGTCAAAGAATTATCATCAGTTCACTGAATATAACTTTCATTGTTAAAACATTTTTGTACAGCATATTGTTGGGTTTTACTAAGTGTGACAGTGAATCGCATGCTGGTCAACTAGGAAAACAGTTATCATAAATTATTCACTTTCTGCATTGACTTATGTTTGATGAGTGTGGCAATCGATACACCAGGCGGAAATATTAGTTTAAAGATAAAGAGCAGAGCCCAGCAAATAACTTTAAAGCCAAACATAATAAAAGTAAAAAATTTATTAGCTAACGTTTCGTTGTTTACAATACAACATCTTCAGAGCAATCTAAATGAATTTACAGGGTATGGTATATATATTTACAAAATAATGGTTTAATATTACAGAAACGGTTACATAGTTTGAAAGAACAAGTTACTGATAAGTTAAGAACAAGTTATTGATAAGTTGTTTTCCTTTCTTTCTATTCATTTGTTCTTTCAAACTATGTAAACGTTTCTGTAATATTAAACCATTATTTTGTAAATATATATACCATACCCTGTAAATTCATTTAGATTGCTCTGAAGATGTTGTATTGTAAACAATGAAACGTTAGCTAATAAATTTTTTACGTTTATTACGTTTGGCTTTAAAGTTGTTTGATGAGTGTATAAAAAAAAGCTAATCCAAATTTAGTGTGCCCTCAATATTAAATGCACAGATTCAATTTTTCCATATTAATAAAAATTAGGGTTTAGCTTTTGAATGGCACCTTTCTCGTATCATTCCAAAAACAATTCGCCTTTCACACGCCGCCATTTTTGGGTGGCTTTTCAGCCGAAGTCTGCGAGATAAGTCCACATAACAGCGACTTTTCATAATTTTTTGGACGAATGATGGTAAATTTGCTTTGTAAATGGTTAGTTTATTTTGAAAAATTGCTTCTCACTTTGTTTTAATTGTCTGCATTGGTTAACGAGAATTAGATGCCACCCAAAAATGGCGGATATTCGTCATCGTGAGAAAGGCTAATTGACCAAAAAAGAGCCGATTAAAAATTTCCGTCCAAAATCTCGTTTTGCCACTTTGTGCATAATTAAGCAGTACATATCAAAAGAAAAGCAATTAATTAACATTTATCAACAACTATATAAGTTTATCCAATATGCCATTAATTTAGAGCTTTTGAAATTAAAATTCATGAATTTTAGATCCAAATGGGATTTACCCTGTATAATGGATATTTCGCATAATTTGCGCATTTCCATAAGAGTAAAACACATTTGATCATCACGGTATATAATGCTTAATGAATTAACAGCCAACATGAGTTAAAGTAGTCATAGAGCGATTGCTTGAATTTGTAGTGTTTGCAGAAATCCGAAGATTTTACATATTCAATACAAAGGGAAAATAGCTTTCCTACAAAGATTTATAAACATATATATTGTAGAGAAATTTGTACAAACTCTTGTTTACGAATACGTAGAAATTGATATATTTATACATGATTTAATGTCACTATTCAAATGTGTAAAATAGTTCCTTTGAAATACAAAAAAATGTTGTGTGAAACTATGTCTCTTAGGGCACTTTCCATTGACACGCACAGACCGGTCAGAACGGTCAAATTTTTTATTGGAACACAAAACACTTGGCCGTCTTGGGCTTCGGACCTATCAGACCGGAAAATTTAGATAATAGAGAGGTTAAGATACCCCGGTTTCGGTTTACGGGTACGAGTATCGCCATTTTGTTTACCAATTTTTGCTGATGTCAGCAATTTTACCCGTAATTTCTACCCGTTTCCCCACGGTAAACCATGGTCTACACGTAAACGACAAACGGGTACGGGTGTTTTCTGTTTACTATTTTTGGGCTGTTTAAATAGTACAAATTTTCAACATCTTACCCAAATAAATAATGCACATATGCTGGTCAAAGTTTTCAACAATTTATGGCGAACCTCAACAGCGGAAGTTGCCATTCTCTGATCGGTTTTCTCACGCCGGAGTATCTTGGATCTCTTAAGTCACAAGTTATTCCTCGAGTTACGGGTACGTGTAGATCACCCGTACCCGTAAACCGGAATCGGGGTATCTTAACCTCTCTAACATTAGAATGAGGTCCGTTTTCGCTAGATATTTGAGAAACATAGACCAGATCTTTCCATTGATACAGAGAAAAGAATTTGAGTCTGGCCGGTCAGGCCATTAAATGGAAAGCGCCCTTAGTGTCTAACTTTTTGAGTGAATCATCATTTAAAATATTGTCATATTTATGTTGACATTGATCTCAGTTGTCAATCAGTTGTCCTCCTGTTTTTTGTCTCGCCCTAATCTAAAATTACGTATTTTTCTAAACCCAACAAAACCACTCCCTTCCCCCCCGGCGTTATCTTGCTTTCCACCAGCACCCTCCTGACATTCCACTTCACTCTTCCCTTTTCCTTTTCGAAATTTCCATTCTGTAAACTTCCCCAAACGACCAGACTTCTTACCATCAGTATCATCGCCCCCTGGAGTTTTGGTTTTCTTAGGCTCCTTGACTGCAGTTTCCTCGTCAACCGGGGGGTCACGGCGTCTTGGTCGCCAATTTTTAAAACCAATCTTCCATCTTCCGTCTGTGGTATCATCCTTATCCCGACCCGCCTGGATGGGTCTATCCGCTTCCGGTTTAGATTGATCAACTTCCGTTTTATTCAATCCTTGGCAAGCTTCTATGTCTGTGATTTGCTCCTCAGATTCCTCGCCTTGACATTTAAAAAACCTTGACAATCTTAGCACAAAATATCCAAAAATACTGCCACCAATGAGACCTAACATTATCTTTAACCTGTCGGGGTATGTCCTTCCACTATCAACAAAGAAATAATAAAATACAGCCATTATAATATCTTCGATAACGTGTAGTATGGGTTGAATAAATGTACGAGATGTCCATTTTAACCTCTCAGCGTCGCTTTCTTTATCCGTGCCCAAGGGGGTGTAGGATAACCACGACAGACAAACATAACCAAACGCTCTGACTCGATGTGAACGCTGGATGACACAAGTCAATATCATATGTAATACAATAACTAACACGACCCAAGGACCCAGAGCTACAGCAAATAATGAATACGCGAACACTCTTGCAGATACACTGACCAAGCCACCAAAACATAGTTTAAATGTACAGTCGTCATTAATGTTCGCATAACACCATCCAATACGGAGATATGTAATACTTAGAGATACAATTTGTATTACACTAACTTCATGGCTTTGTATCATTGCGGCGTAGAACTGTAATATAAACTGCGGAGCTAGTTCAATGCCGACCTCTAGGCAGTTAAAAACTTCAATATATAACTGATGGTCTTCGTGTTCCTTTGTAGTGAAAGCTACATACAGTCTCCCACAGCAAGGAATGAAAGGACAACATACTGCAGCCACACAACAGCGGAGTTTTGACGCCAATTTTCCCGATGTGCTGTTCTCATTAGAAGGCAGAATAAACACCCAGAATATGAGATAGATGATACTTGGAAGGATAATAAACACCAAGCATAACACAAACCATAAAATCTCTCCAGCTTCAAAATACTTCCAGCATGTTAAGCCGTCGGTGAGTGGATCAGCGAACGACAGCAAAGCCCCGATGAAGAACAGAAACTTCAGACATATAGCAGCGATCATTTTGACAGCGCTGTGGTTTTAGGCTTTTGACAAAGGAATGTGAGATTTAAAATCCAATATATTTGAGTGGGTTGGCCACAAACATGACCTTTTCTAGAAGTATGTTTGTTGGGTCGGTCAAGAGCCAAAGTCACAGGTTTATTTATGATGCAGTGTATATATTAATTAAAGTTGTATTCAGCTCTAACATATGGACAATATTTGGTATCGACTATTGTAAGCATGTGTTAACAGCGGGGAATAATTTTGCATATCACCCAGCCATCAAGTCGACTTTTTAATATTCAAACACTTGCTATACGAATTTTTTATTTCTGCAGTCTAGAATTTAAATATTTAAACAGTCCCGTGGTTTTCACATCCAAATACAGTGTTCTCTTACTAAGCTTATTGTCTTAAAATGACACACCCGGTTTTGTTAGTTCCGGCATCTTTAAAGTGCCTATGACACGAAATCTCACCCCAAAGGTTTATAGTTGCATTGTAAAGATCACTTAAAATGACTTAGGCCTGTTCATATGGGCAGAAGTTATCGCGGTTAGCGAGAAAACTTTTCGACAAGTTTACGAGCGAGATCTCGCCTTGTTACGAAAATAATATGAAAAGTTACATTGCGTTCATATGAGACGAAAAGTTTTCCCGTGTACCGAGATCTCGCTTGTTGACAGGCGAGATCTCGGTGACCGGGATAATGTTTTCCCCATATGAACACAACTTTCCCGCTTAGCGGGATAACTTTTTGTCGTCTCAGCAACTTTTCAATTCAATTGATGTCCAGTGCTACGTCACAGCCGGAAACTTTTCCCGGTAAGTGGGATAATATTTCTCCATATGAACAGAACAAAAATATTTGGCTAGTCGAAAAGTTCTCTCGTTAACCGGGATAACTTTTGCCCATATGAACAGGCCCTTAATAATTTCTTTGATAGAATTTTCATAACTTGCTCCATTTTCAAGATATTCAACTTTGTTTCATATGCATGCAAATATCACCGGTGTGACATCACATCGCATAATGAGTTTTCAGAAAAGTAATAGTTTTCTTGACGAATACGTATCTAAAAAACATTGCCTTTGTATATGTATTAATTTCATAACTGGTAACTAACCCTCTGTATTTGTTTGTAAAAATATTTTATCAAGGTAAAATATTGCGTTTTCAAAATGTCATTATGCGATGTGATGGCACACCGGCGATATTTGCGTATCAAACAAAGTTGAATATCTTGCAAAGGAAGCAAGTTACCAAAATTCTATAAAAGAAATTATTATTAAGTAATTTTAAGTGATCTTTACAATGCAGTCATAAACATTTTGGGTGAAATTTCGTGTCATAGGCACTTTAAATCGGTTAGGTATGTTTATAGGTCAAGTACAGCAAGCTTTCATGTTAGCTCCTATCCTACTACTTTTCCACTTTCCTATTGAAAGTGGTTGTTAAAATAAGGTTATAAAAATAAAGTTAGAAATTGATTCAAACCGTCCCATGATTCACAGCGCACGATCCCATCTCCATATTGTGCCATCGTCACAGACGCATATCAAGACACTAAAATTGATGGGGGTATAAATAAGGGAGAGTAAGAACTAATAATGGTGGCATTTTGCATCAAAGCGCTCGTGTAAGAAAGCAGAAAACTTTAGAAATCTTATGTTTTGTCATATACAGGGTGTATAAAAAAAAGGTAATCGAACTTCAGCGCGCTATTGTATCTGAATTACTCTGCGTATGAACGAGATTTTTTCACATTCGGAAAGTTCATGCTTTTAGCTGTTGAATGATATCTTCTTCAAGCCAAATGGAGAAAAATTGAGCAAATACGAATCCGATAAAAAATGTTAGTCAGAATCGCATATTTTCACCGTTGAGAGTTGGGTCTAAAACCATTGAAAATTAACCCCCTTTAGGACTTAAGTTGATGAATTTCACTTCATTAAACTTCAACATATTCATAATTATTATGAAGTAGGAATAAATCTTAGCTAAGCTACGACACGTTCGTGATTAATTGCTTTTTCTTTTCTTATGCATTGTTTTAATTAGGCACAGAGGTGAAAATATGCGATTTTGACTAACATTTTTAATCGGCCTCGTACCTTCTTATTTTTTTTGCCACTTGGCATGAAAAGCATGCCATTCAATAGCTAAAAGCCTGATCTTTCCGAATATGAAAAACAATTGTTCATACGCCAAGTAATTCACGTATAATAGCGCGCTGAAGTTCGATTACCTTTTTTTTATACACCCTGTATATGTTGAAGATTAGACCAAAAAAAAAATATGTGGGTTTCCGGTTTCTTCTTATAAAAACTTAGGTAGGGTAGGTCGGTTTTAACTTTTTTTTTTAAACTTTTTTTTTAATTTTCCGAATAAGCGGACGCCATTTTGTTTAGTCGGTGCTTCCACATTCAAAGATAAATTTCCCTAATATTGCCTCAAATTTCAATTTTCCACAAACTTTTCCTCTAAGTGGAAACACTTACAAGCATGATCCAATAAAAAAGTTTAGGGTCGGCATTTCGACGTCGAAAAGCTAGGTAGGGTCGGGAAACCGGAAACCCACATATTTTTTTTTTGCCTTATCACAAACTGACACAAACACAGTTTTTAATCCAGTCCCCCCTCCCGGCAATCTGACGTCCGTGTGTTGACAAGAGCCTTTAAGGTAGAGTAATACGGGCAACAAAATTACTGCAACTTGCAACAAAATCCGATTTCAACGCATGTTAATTGAGAATGTTTACACATACATTACAAATCACGAGGCAACATGTGTCAACATTTCTACTTAACATGCATTGAAATCAGATTTTGTTGCAAGTTGCAGCAATTTTGTTGCTCGTATTACTCCAGCTTTACGTACCTCCCGTCTTTACTAAAGCATGTTTGTCGTACCGCGGCCGTACATTTAGGATGAGAAAGTACTTTTTGTCTAAAAAAAATACAGTAAAATTTTTTGTTCATTTCGATGGCAGATTTCGTTGGATCCAAATTTGAACCTTGTGAAGAAACATCGCGTTATTTCATTTGGTGACAAATCAAACTTACTTAGCGTCATGAGAATCGGTGACGTCAATATCCCAGGTATAAATCTTACCAACTTGATTTCCTAATGCTAAGATCTAAAGAAAAACACAAAATTTACATATCTCAAAAATTATTATTACTTCACGAGGTTAACGAGGTGACTGCGAAGAATGAAATAGTCATGTGAAAATATAAAGGCTCATTTCCACTTAGGAATATTTTCCGCAGAAAGAAAATTTTGTAAAATGTGATTGGCCGACACAAATTTTCCGTCAGAAAAAAACTTTGAAGTCGAAAATTTTCAACTTTTAACAATGACATTTTCGGAAAATTTTCTGTCCTTTTCTGTCCGTGGAAATTTTCTTGAGTGGAAATGGGCCTTTAGCAGAGCAATCCTAATTTTTTCACTGTTTTTTCCCGTTGAGCATTCTCTACTTACTTTTTGAGAGTGATCGATTGCGAAGCGCATGAACCATATGTCACACTGTGCGTATTCAAACCTGAATTAGGAATGAATCTGAATTTAATATCCTCTATAATTATAATCAAACATTTACAGTTGTGACTTGCAAGACGGAACTTACTTATGAAGAACTGTGACAGAATTCATCTCATCTGATGGCTGCAATTAAAAAAAAATACGATGGCGCAGGCATCAGAGCAGGCGCCTTTCAACCATTGAACTATAAATAAACTGGAAGGCTAACTGCTATGATGAAGGCCTATGATTTGATGAAGCCAAAATAGTTTTTCTGAGTTATGAGCAGAAATACTTGACCCCAAACGTCGGGCTATATATCAAATTGAAGCTATCGAAAATTGCTATTCGGTGTGGAAATTTCAAGACTTCAGCGAAAAGAAAATATTTAAAAAATACAAAAACAACTGCAAAACGGCAAATTATCGGTAATTATGTTTGTAGTTTTTCGATATTTCCCTTTTAGCTAAAGTCTTGAAATTTCTACACCAAATAGCGTTTTTCAATAGCTTCAATTTGATATATAGCCCAACGTTCAGTGTTGAGTATTTCTGCTCATAACTCAGAAAAACTAAAATGCACTGGCTTCAATTCCCCCCCCCCTGAGTTAGCCTTCCAGTCTATTTATAGTTCAATGCCTTTCACCTATCGTGGGTTGGAATGGCATGGACTCATGTGAAAAGAGTCAGTCAGCTCACTTTGTCGAAAGTCGTGGGTAAGAAAGTTAAGAAAGTAATATCACAATTGTTGTAAAAAGAATATAGTCTAGGCTAAGTATGTAATTAGGTAAGCGTAATTGCTTGATTTAAGGGACGGACCATTTGATTTTTGATGGGGGGTGGGTAGAATCCCCAAAAAAATATCGGGCAAGCAATTCGAACTTAAAAAAAATATCGTGCAAGAATAAACGGACAAAAAAAAATATCGAGCAAGACTTTCGAGTGATGATCCTTATTTGCCATTCGGTGCATTTCCGCGTGTAGCCCAGGGCCGTATGTAGCAACCGGGGGGCTGCAGGGTCCAGGAAATGGCATTTCAGAGACTCTAAATTTAAAAATTTCCTCGGGCCTTCGGCCCTCGCTTTCAGCCCCCCAATCAAAAAGAGCTTCCTACGGCCCTGTAGCCTAAATTGATTGGAGGAGCAATATAATTCCAAAAATGGTTGTTATTTATATCTTTACTCCGACTCCTAGGATGAACATGTACGTAAAAAACTAGGAGAACTACGATTAAATCACGGCCGTAGAAAATAAAATAGGTGAAATTTTTATGGGAACGATCAAAGGCGAGGATATAAGAGCGAGAGATTGAAATTGAGCAGGAATAGCGTACAGGGGTATGCGTTTCGACCTAACAGTTTTCTTCAGCAGGGTTTTTTAAGAGGGGGGTGCATGTAGATATAATTTGAAGAGGAGAAGGAAGGAGACTTTAGAGGAGTTCGGAAAATAATGTGAGACCAAGAGGAAAACAAATTATTACGAAATAACTGAAAATAACCAATTACACAGTGAAAGGATGTAACTATACTATACATGTTATTAGTCAAATTATCCTACCAAAGGTCTTGTTGTTTGCGGGACATTCCAACACTACGCACTTTATTGTTCATCGTTCGTATTGGTGAAGTGAAGACAAAATTTGCAGGTCCTTGAGTTTGAATGATTGTGATGGTAAGGGTGATCATGTGACTGTAGGTGATTGCATCCAAATATGGTGTTCGTGGTGTAGGAGCTTATAAGACAGGGATAGGGGCGTTTGGCAATTAGTGATACATAAGGGATAAAAATAATAACACCGTGCAGGGTTTGATTTTTGTTTAAAATATATGAATATACAATAATAACTAAACATGTACATATATAACAAAACCAAAACAGAGATTAGTAATGATACGATATGACCAATAGATAGCTATAGCTAGTTCTGGTGTGGATTTTGCTACGTAGAGGATCCAAGTTCACATTATTTTCCGAACTCCTAAACTCTCTTTTCTTCTCCTCTGCAAATTCTATATACTCCCCCCCCCCTTTAAAAAACCTGCTGAAAAAGACTGTTAGGTCGAAACGCGTGTAGGGTTGCCTTTCCTACTCAATTTCAATCTCTCACTCTTATATCCTCACCTTTTATGGAGTCCCATAAAAATTTCACCTACTTTAGTTTCTATATATATAATCGCAGTTTCCCTAGTTTTTTTACGTACATGTTCATCATAGGAGTCCGAGTAAAGAAATGAAGAACAACCATTTTTTAATACTGGTCCTCTCATTATTTAGGCTACACAATGTATTACACCAGTACTTGTCCAATTACTTATTATATACCAAAAAATGTAAAAACAAAAAACTGTATATACATGGATACAAAAAAATATCGTGCGAGTCCTCTGACTGACAAAAAAAAATCGAACAGTGTCAGGAGGCGGAAAAAAAATATCGAGCAAACTGAAAATCTACCCACCCCCCCATCAAAAATCAAATGGTCCGTCCCTTATTATTGTATTACAAATTATATTCTCAGACTTTCTTGTTGAACAAATGTGTACTATTGAAGCAATTAGAGTAAACAATGTAATTACAATTTTGTAGAACACAAAAACCATGTGAAAATACACAAACAAGCATTACATTGAGTAGGCTATATTTAAAAGTACAGGGTGTCGAAATAAGCTTTATTAATACTGTCACGTACCGAAGATGCATCTAATGATTCTAAAATTTCCTCACTAGTTTTGGGTTTAGTTTGGGTTTCTTGATCTCGTGATTACTGATTATTAATACAAAATCATTTGTTGAGAAAACAACGCGTACTTTTACCGGATTTTGAACTCTGGCGACGTCTTCTCGTTGATCACAATCGCCGCCTCTCTGCTTCGCGGTTACAGCTAGTTGTCTGATTCTTTTCAATTAGATTAACTTCTAGTACTAATATTAAATCGCTCGCGAACTGAATCAACTTTCTATAATAAGTCTAATAAATTACTATTCTTGTCGGCACAATTACGGCACACATTGTTAGACAAAACAACTGTCTAGATTCAATAAGTTTTTACATGCACTCGTTTTTGTTGATACATTGATCAGCTTTCGGCGCTTACTTGGGTCAGTTATTTCGTTTCCACACTCGGTGCAAACTGTTTCATTCGAGGACAAAGAAATATCAATTCTTGGGAATGTTTTTGTGTTTTTGTAGACCCATTGTCGGCGCGGTGAAGTAATTGTATGAAATGTACACACCCCTTTTATGTCAAAATTATTCGCGCCAAAATTTTCAATGCGATTTAAATTCCTGCAAGGGACACAAGTCGACCACTCGCGACTTCGTCGCTCGGGTCGCGTGTTCCCTCCCTCGCGCCCTTCCTCCCCCATGGTCGACTTGTGTCGCTCGGGTCGCGTGTTCCCTCC